TCATTTGGGCAATTTCCCACCACCTGGGCGAACCTCCGTCCCTGCTTGTACAGCCTTGTGCGAGAGCAGGGCTGGTATGGGGCTCATTTTCCTCCCCTTCCTCTAGTCACCTGTGCCTTTGCTTTTTTTTTTCATAACTGTGATAAAATGTACATGACATAAAATCTATTGTAACCATTTTTAGGTACAATTCAGTGGCACTAAGTACATCCTCCGTATTGTGTAGTCATCATCTGTATCCGTTACCGGAATCTTTTAGCCACCTGAAGCAGAAACCCTGTCCCCTTTCTTTCTTTTTTTTATTTCTTTTTTTTTTTAAGGACACTTTATTTTTTTAAAGATTTTATTTATATATTTTTGAGAGAGAGAGAGAGAAGGAGTGGGGGAGAGGGGCAGAGGAAGAGGGAGAAGCAGACTCCCTGCTCAGCAGGGAGCCCAGTGCGGGACTTGATCCCAGGACCCTGAGATCATGCTCTGAGCTGAAGGTAGATGCTTTACCAACTGCACCACCCAGGCGCCCCAACTCTGTCCCCTTTAAACAATTCCCGCCCCAGTCCCCTAGCCCCGGACAACCTGCATTCTGTGTCTGTGAATTTACCTATTCTCGATCCTCCTCCAAGTGGAATCACACACTGTGTGTCCTTTTGTCAATACATTTGTGGCATGTGTCAGAACTGACTTCTTTTTTATGGCTGAATATTCCACTGTATGGATAGACCAAGTTTATCTTTTCATTTGCTGATGGACATTTGAGTTTCTGCTTTCTAGCTGCTGTGAATCATGTTGAACACTGGCGCATAGATATGTGAGTTCCTGTTTTCAGTTCATCTGTGCATAGATCCTGAAGTCGTCAGGATGTGTTTCCCATACGCCGTCACTTTACACTGCCGGGTTGATGGAAGTTATATTCTGTCCTGTACCATAGTTCCTAATTCTGTGTTGCAAAAGTTGGAAATGACATCAGTCAGTCTGTCTGTCTGCATAGCCGGGTGGGATGCACGAATTAATGCTTTCTCATCTATGTGTCTTGTCCCCCATCTCCTGCACCCCTGGAGGAATGGTGTTCTTGGCTGGCTTTAGGTCCATGGGGATTCTGCTGGCTTATGTGTTACCAGTCCCCTTTATCACGTCCTCGAGTGTCCTGACCTCCACCATCCCCTGGACACCTCCCCTTTGCTGTCCTCTCTGTGCAGCGGCCCCCACCTTTCTTCCCTCCAGCTTCAGGAATTTGTGTACTAACATGAATTCCCTTCCTCTCTGTTGGCCCTCTAGTTCTCCCACTAGGCCTGTGGGGGCGGGGTCTCACTGTGGGTACATGTGTGTGCTCAGTTGGTCATCTACACCTGCACATCTCTTGTTCTAAGGCTGTTTGGCCCATGTGTCTTGTCTACAACACCCCCCCAGCTTCCCTCACCACTGTTCCCTGCCCAAGGGTCATTGTTGGGGCACACGTTCTGAGTCAGAGCAGACCCAGGGTTACAACTTTGTGGTTTTGACCTTTTTGTACCTGACAGACCTTAATTTCCAAATCTACACGATGGGGTCCTGACCCATTGCAGTGATTAGGCTGAGACTAAATGGGACAGTGTGGCCGCCAAGGGACTGGGGGCTGTGCTGGCCTCCAGGTGACCAGGGCTCTCAGCCCTCTGTCCGTAATCTCTCCTAGCCAAGGCCTGGCTTTTCTCTTTGCTCAGCGAACCTCTTTTCAAATGGAGGTGCCTCCAGCCAGACTTCTTTCATGAGGTTGGCTAGGCTCCTGACACCTTGCTGTAAGTTTATTAGCTTTATTTTGGATGGCAAAGGGAAAGAAAATGGGGGAGCGGGGCCTCCCAAGTTTTGGGGAGCCTCCCGATGTTTGGGGAGAGGCCTTCCCAGATTCTGGCCCCTCGCAGGCACTGCTGCCAAAGCTCACTGTGGTCCCTGCCTCGTGTGGTCCAAACATGTGTAGTGCCTAGTCTGGCCGCCGGGGCCTCACAGGTCCCCTCACGGGCTTGTCACCCAGCAGCTGTAAGTGAGCCAAATGAAATTTCATTGTTGTAGGACAGAAACCAGGATAGCTTCAATTTCATCTGGCTCTACGGCTCTATGGTAGGGGAGTCTGAGGGGCACCAAGACCCCTGAGAAAGGACGCAGGCCTCCTGCAAGGGTCTGAGAAGAAGTTGCGGCCGGGCGAGCTGGTCCTTGACAGCGGGCTGGGGAGCTCGAGAGGAGACCAGTCGTAGAGCCGCAGGCAGGACGCCCTCTCCTGCAGGCTCAGGGGTCAGCAGATGGGCCAGTGGAACAGAGTCGAGAATCTAGAACAAGTCAGCCATGTGGGAACTTTATGACCAGGGTGGCGCTGCAGAGCCGTGGGGAGAAGCAGGTGTTGAACCAATGGTGCTGGGCAGCTGGGCAACCGGATGGCAGCAGAGTGACTTGGAGCCACACACTCAGAGTGGACGCATCCCACACTCCCAGGTTCGGAAGGCATGCATGGGCGCATAGGTAGGAAACCTGACGAAAACTGAGGGGTGAGGGGAAGGCTCCGGTGCCCGCTCATTGTCCTGACAGGTGGTGCTCACATGGTCTCGTGTGTCCAGTTTACATGTGCTTTATGCACTTTCTGTATTTGTATCACACTTCACAGTAAAAAAGAGTTCTCAAAGAGGACCCCAACATACTGGGGGAAATGTGAGGAAGCCTGTCCATCCTCGGCACAAGGCTCGCAGGACTGACAGGAGATCCAGCCTGGCTGGACGATGCTGGGATGGTGTCCTGGGTGGGGGATGAACAGGGCTGCTGACTGCTCGGGTGGAAACCCGTGCAGGCCCCGGGCCCAGGACGTCCGTAGGCTGTGTGAGAAGCTCTGGCCTTCCATAGGGCTGTCAGGACCCCGTGTGCATTTTCAGTCCCCTGGGGCTACAGGACGCAGACAGGCTGGAGCCCCAGCTGGACGCAGAACAGCTGGTGGGAGATGCAGACCGAGTGGGAACCAGGGCCTGGCCATGCTGCTGCTGCCTGCTTCCTGGTTCTCAGACTCTCGAGGTGTCTTCCTTCTGGGTCTTTACACTGACCCTTCACTTGGACTGGATGCTCCTTCCTGCCCATGAGATGGCACCTTGTAGGTGCGTCAATCATCCACCACCCTTCCCTTGAGTGCCAGCCCTGGAGGAGCAGGAGTGGTGACCGCTGTTTGTGGAAGAAATGAATAAAAGCTGGAGTGAGCAGGAGATGTAGGCCTTCCAGAGCTGAGGTCTGCCTTGGTGAGAATTGTGGTGTCAAGGTCATTGAACCGTGGTACCGGGTGGCCAGTTCCAAGGGTGTTCCCAGAGTAGGCACTCACTTCCCGGGTGTTCTCCCGGGAGTGTGGAGTCTGGGTGGTGGAGGCTGGACCCAGGGGAGTCACAGGGACCATAGGAGACCGCAGAGTGCAGGATTGGAGTCAGGTCCACCAGGGGGCTGCCCGTGATGGGTCCTTGAGACCTGGTGGTGGGAGGCTGGCAGAAGGACCGAGGGACAGGCATATGCCACTCTGAGAGATTAGGGCATGGAGGAAGGACCCATTTGGGGTAGGAGCCCATTAACTCCATTCCTGTGTTGGCTTTGAGATACTTGTGAGCCCGGAATGACAGGCGAGCATGTTTAGCCAGCTGTAGAACAGGGTGGGTATGGCTCCTCTCTCTCAAGAACCCTGCCACCCCGGGCCGTAAGCAAGAGTAATAATCCTCCAGCCTCATAGGGCTGGTTTCTGAAAGTGCACTCTGGTGCTGTGCCAAGTGAGAGTTATGTGACAGCCGATCCCTCCCATTCTGCTGCTGGAATGATCCTGGTGGTTCCCTGCTGCCGATGAGGCCAGGTGCTTCGGAAGCCATTCGTGCCCGTAATCCTTGAGCATGCATTTCCTGAAGGTGCAGGGAGCTGGACATCGATACGGCACTTGAGCTCACAGCCTGGGTCCCAGTTGGTCAGCTGTCCTGGGAATGTCCTATCTAGCCGCGCCCCTGGAGCACGTTTCCATTGGGGCAGTGCCTGCAGTGGAGGACGTGTATACCCTGTTGGTGGTCCAGGACAATCACCGTTCCTCTGTGCCTTCCCCACTGTTGGTCTCCGCTCTGGGGGAGGGACTGACTGATGGCCGGAGGCACCTTGTGTGGCTGAGGTGAGGTGCTAGTGGAAGGTCTTGGCCCATTTCCCTATTTGGTGGAAGGGTTCCTTTTGCTTTTTAGTAGTGCTAACCATGTATCGCCAATGCCATTTCCTGCTCCAGGCCTTCTTTCTTCACTCCCTTTACTTTTACATTTTCTTTTGAGATCACTGTAGATTTACATACAGTTGTGAGAAGTAGTTCAGAGAGACAGACCCCTGGCACACATTCCCCCCCCAAGCAGTCCCCTGAAGGCATCTAGGACACTGATGTCCACACACTCCACTGACCTTTTCAGATTTACCAGTGTTACATGCATCTCCGTGTGCGCACAAACGTGTGCATGTACTTCTGGGCAGTCTTGTTAACTGTATAGATTTGTGTGACCACCAGAGTCAAGTGCAGAACAGCTCCATGACCAGAACCCTGTGCTGCCCTGCGTAGCCATGGCCACTGTCTTCCTCCACCCCCACCCTAAGATCTTACCATATCAAGGATTTTTTATTTTTATTTATTTATTTATTTTATTTTATTTAAGGTTTTATTTGTTTATCTGACAGAGAGAGGCAGCGAGAGAAGGAACACAAGCAGGGGGAGTGGGAGAGGGAGAAGCAGGCTTCCCACTGAGCAGAGAGCCCGACATGGGGCTCATTCCCAGTACCCCAGGATCATGACCTGAGCCGAAGGCAGATGCTTAACGACTGAGCCACCCAGGCGCCCCAAGGATTTTTTATAAATGGAATCATGCAGGGTGTGACTGTTAGGGAGGAGCCCGTGCCCTTGAGATCCACGCAGGCTGTGTGCATCCAGAGTCGGACCCTTTTTTTTTTTTTTTACAAGAGAACAATTCTACACCTTTATTTACTTTTCATTAAATTTAAATCCTTGAGGGGTACAGCATCACACGGATTCTGTGGCCAGTGGCTTTAGCAGGAAGGTTGCTTCGGAATTTGGCATGAACCATGCCACTGTTTCCATGAGCACGAGTTACTTTTCCCCAGATTACTGTGGTTTTGTTTGGTTTGCCACCAGGAGTCACTGTGTTGTTCTTTGCTTTGTACACATAAGCACATCTCTTGCCTAGATAGAATTCTGTTTCATCTCGAGCATAAACACCTTCGATTTTAAGAAGAGTTGTGTGCTCCCTCTGGTTCCGGAGACCCCGCTTATAGCCAGCAAAAATGGCCTTGGACCACAGCCTTCCAGACGTTATTTGGTGTTTTAGGAGTCCTGTTCCCAGCAGACCTCCACAGGCTCCAAGATGGAAAAAGCCAGAGTCGGACCCTTTTGATTGCTGAGGCGTGTTCCATGATGTGGGTGGACCAGAGTTTGGTTAAACTTTTGCCCATTGAAGGCCTGGGATGTTTCCAGTTTGGGGCTGTTATGAATAAATCTGCTGTGAAGTTCATGTCCAGGTTTTTGTGTGAACTTGAATGTCCATTTATGTGGGACAAATGCCTGAGAGTACAGCTGTTGGGTCATATGGTGAGCACATGCTTAGTGTTTTTAAGAAACTGCTGGTCTGTTTTCCAGAGTGGCTGCACCATCTTATGTGACCACCAGCAATGTGGGAGACCCTTGGCATTCTGATGGGTATGCAGGGACACCTCACATGGTTTTAATCTTCATTTTCCTCATGGCTAATGCTGTTGAAGATCTTTCCATGGGCTTTTTTTGCCATCTTTATATCCTCTTCAGTGAAATGTCTGTTCACACATTTTGCCCATTTTCTAATTGGATTGTTTGGTTTTTACTGCTGAGGTTTGAGTCCTTTATGTGAGCCAGAGAGAAGTCCTTTGGTCTGTGATTTGCAGAAATGCTCTCCAGTCAATAGCTTGGCTTTTCACCCTCTTCACAGGGTTTTCGTGGAGCAAAAGTTCTTAATTGTGGTGTGGTTCAAGTTGTCATTTAGGGACTGTGCTTTTGGTGTCCAGTCTGTAGAAACTGTATGGCTTCACCTTTACCATTGAGATGCACAGTGCAGCCAGAGTAGCGATTAAGATGAGTTTTTTTTACCTGTGGCTGTCCAGTTGACCCAGCTCCATTGTTGGAAAGGTTCTTTTTCTGCTGCTCTGCGCGGTCATAAATTGAGTGTCTACACTTAGTGGATTTGTTTCTGGACTCTCTTCTGTTCCATGGTCTGTTTACCCCTAAGCCAGTACCTCAGAGTCTTACTTACCAATCTTTATATTAAGTGTTGTTATGGAAGAGTGTGAGTACTTCAGATTTGTTCTTTTTTAGGATTGTCCTGACTGTTCTTGGCCTTTTGCATTTCACATAAAATGGAGAATAAGTTTTGTGAGTTTCAAATACAGCTACTGTGTTTTGGTTGGGATTGCGTTGGACCTTCGATAGCTGGGGGAAAATGACATTCTGCCAGTTCTGAGGCTTGTGGCCCACGAGCATGGTGGATCCTGTTATTTGCCAGGTCTTCCCTCATGCTTTTAAAAAAGGTTTTGTGGTTTTCTGTGTATAGATCTTGTGCCTCTTTTGTGAGACTTATAACTAGACATTAATGATTTTGGATACTATTGTATTTCTATAAACAGCATGGTAATGTTTCATTGTGTAGTTGTTGCTAGTATTTGTAAGTACAATTATTTTTTACGTCGACCCTGTATCTGCCAATATTGCTCTGTTTTAATTAATCCTAATAGTTTTTCTATAGGATTGTTCAGGTTTTTATCATACACAATGTCATTTGCAAATAATGAATTTTTTGTACCCTTCCTATCCTTATTCCACTTATTTCTTTTTCTTGCCCAGTTGCATTGGCTAGAACCTTAGTACAAATGTGAATAGAAGCAGTGGTAGCAAATGTCCTTGTCTCATCCAGTACCGTTTGTTGTTTTTCACATTAGGTTGGGATAATCATTGTGCTGATGGGAAGTACCCCGAGGCAGGAGGAGCCGATGCTGGGAGACGGGTTCTGGAGGGGTCCCGGGGACGTGGGTCCGGGTCCTTGCAGTGGGATGAAGCATTGTGGGGGAGGTGGGGAGTCGTGGCAGATGGATTATTTGAGTAGGTGGGTATCCTTGTCTGATGGCTTCTGTCTTCTCATGAAACATGTCAGCAGCTGGGCATGAAAATGAGGGAGAAGAGGCAAAGGAAGCTGTAAGATTTCTCCAAGAATTAGTGCCATTGAGTGTGTGGGGTGTCCTGGTTGGATGGGGGCCACCAAGCGTGCGGCGACCCAGTCGGGTGGAGGCCGGCCCCATGGGTGAGGCAGAACAAAGGAGAGTTTATTGACTACACCGCAAGGGAGCAGCGGGTGGGCAGGACAGCACGAGGGGCAGGGAGGGGGAGACTATCTGCCAGGAGGCGGGCATGCAGGGCTGCAGTTAGAGGGGGAAAGTGAGGAGGTATGGGAATGTAGAGAATTTTCCTTTTTTGGTACCTGTGTCTGGGTGTGAGTGGCCCATTGGGCAGCTAGGGCTTATGGCTGTTTTGAGGTGGGTCACCTGATCGGCCTGTTTGTATTCAGCCAGGGGACTGGGGGTGACTGTGGGCCCTCTACCTTCTCCAGGTTTCCATGGCTCAAGTTGGCTGCCTAAAAGCGGCCTCTACAGAGTGGGCCCCGCACTTCTCTGAGGTGTGGTCTTGAGTCCGTGGCTCTGCTGGTTCATTCAGAGTTGGGGCAGTCGTGCTGGACAGGCTGGGGTTCCCACCTGTGCACAGTAGAGCAGCAGTGGAGAGCACAGCTTGAAGCTGAAGGTGAGGACATGACAGTGTGGGGCTCCGGAGTGCTGGGGTCAGCATCTGCAGGACCGAGCTGGGGGGGAGGGGATGGTCTGAGCATGGGGTGTTGAGGAAATGCCAGAGTGGGGGTGAAGGGGGACAGTTACAGATGGTGACAGGGTCAAGGGCATAACTGGGGCAGAGGATGAGGTCATTGGCAGGAAGGAGAGGTTAAGACTGAGGAGCAGGGAGTTGAAGGGTGGTCACAGGAAATGGAGACCACCAGGAATTCAGACCTGGCGCAGTGATGGGGCGATGCCCACAGCAAGGGCTGGTGTTGGTGGTGGGCACAGCGGATGGCTGGTATCAGCTGGGACTCCTGCAGAGAGGAGTGGGGAAGGGGCTGCAGGCCACAGTGAGGAACAGGGTGGGTGGGTACCCCCTTCCAGGCTAGGGGGCTGAGGTAGTTTCAGAATTGGGGAATCGAGAGCAGGGTCAGAAGCCCCCTCGATGCTGCTTCTCTGATCAAGCCTGTCTCTTCCTTCTCTCCTAGCTCAGCCAGGTTCTCAGGAGGTGGGGCCCCCACCGTGTCCTTGTCAACTCTTCGTTGGGGGGGGACCTCTGCTGAGCTCGCAGTGGCCTCTGTACCCTTCTCTTTTAAAAACACAGGAAGGGGGCGCCCGGGTGGCTCAGTCATTGGGCGTCTGCCTTCGGCTCAGGTCATGATCCCAGGGTCCTGGGATCGAGCCCCGCATCGGGCTCCCTGCTCAGCGGGAAGCCTGCTTCTCCCTCTCCCGCTCCCCCTGCTTGTGTTCCTTCTCTCGCTGTGTTCTCTCTGTCAAATAAATAAATACAATAAAATCTTAAAACACACACACACACACAGGAAGGCTCGTTCTTTGAGAAGGATCACCTGTGCAGTGGGAGGTACACCTGCGAGGCAGTGTCTTGACACTGTACTTGGTCCAAGGCCTTTTCCATTTCCCTGGATGTCCCAGGTGCATCCTCGAGGCTGGCACCCTGGGCCTCTCTGGTCCAGCCACATGTGCTGTCCAGGCTCATGTCCTGCTAATTATTAGGGACTTGAGTATCTAACTGGTGTTTGCAGTGGGATCTGTGTCCTTTGTCCCGTGAGCTGTTGCATGGCCCCATCATGATTGACCTCAGGACCCCTTTGTCATGTTTATTGTACATGTTTTGCCCAGTTGACCATCTGTTTTCTGGTTTTGTAGGCTTTGTTTTGATTTGTTTTGCCCCTCAGTGCAGACATTTTGAAGATCTAGTGCAACTGGATTTATCAGTTTTCCTTTTCGTTTCTGGATTTTGTGTCACGTTTAGAAAGGCTTTCCCCTGTGCTGGGATCACACAGATATTTTTCCCTTCTTCCTGATACCCCTGCAGCTTTATTCTTCCTTATGGCTGTGTCTCTGATGAGTCTGGAGTGGAATTTTTTTTTTTTTAAGATTTTATTTATTTTGATGGGGGAGCAGAGGGTGAGGGAGAGAATCTCCAGCAGACTCCACGCCAAGCACAGAGCTCTATGTGGGGCTTGATCCACTACCCTGAGCTCATGACCTGCGCTGAAATCAAGAGTCGGATGCTTCACCGACGGAGCCACCCAGGCGCCCCTGGAGTTGATTTTGGGGTGAGGAGAGAGGTAGATCCTGTCCTGTTTTTCCAGGTGCTTACCTGCCATCCGTAGCCACACATTGAAGCGGTGCTCCCCGGTGGCCCTGTGTGGCCCTTCTCTGCCCCCTGCAGTGGCCACCCTAGTCCTCCCATGTGCATCTCTGTTGGCCCCTGACGCCTGGATGCTCTGTCCTGGGCTTCCTGGTACCAGTTTGCCCTGAGCAGTGCTCAGACCTACTTCCAAGGGCCCTCCTTTGTCTGCCTGCCGCTCACTTGCCCTTTCCCTGCATCTGACACCCTGTCCCTCCTCATCCAGTTACTCTTGTCGTCTCCTATCCACTCCCTCCCGGGTAGGCGTGTGGGTCCCTGTGCCTCTTCTGTGAGGTTGCCCTCACCCCCCATCTGATCACATCAGTCATTTGTCTGAAAGCTTCTGTGGCTCCCACAGCCTGTGGGCAGAGTCCGGCCCCTCAGCTGGGGACAGAAGATGCTCCCGGAGCTGTGACTGTGGCTCGCGCTGTCCTTCCCGGGTCGGACCTGATAGCCAGCAGGAGTGCTCACACCTGTTCTCCCAGAACAGAGAGCGCTTACAGGTGCCTAGAAGAGCGTTACCTTGCATGGCTCCAGAGTCCAACAGAAGTGACCCAAAGTGTGCATTCCCCATCCGTCTGCCTCTCTGAACCCCACCGTGACCACTTCTGGTCTTTTTGTGTGTCTTTCTTGTGTTTCTTAGGTACATAAAAATGTATGTTCTTATTTTATTCCTTCTTTACACAAAAGGTAGTGTACCATAAACAGACTTTATATCTTTTTTCTTCAATGAACAGCATTTCTTTTTTTTTTTTTTTTTTTTTAAGATTTATTTATTGGGATGCCTGGGTGGCTCAGTCGGTGAAGCGTCTGCCTTCAGCTCAGGTCATGATCCCGGGGTCCTGGGACTAAGCCCTGTGCCGGGCTCCCTGCTCAGCGAGGAGTCTGTTTCTCCCTCTGCTCCTCACCCCTGCTCATGCTCTGTCTCTCTCACAAATAAATAAATAAAATCTTTTTAAAGATATTATTTATTTATTTGACAGAGAGAGAGGGAGAGCAGGAACAAAGATAGCGGGAGCAGGGGGAGTGGCAGAGGGAGAAGCAGGCTTCCCGCGGAGCAGGGAGCCCGATGCGGGGCTCGATCCCAGGACCCTGGGACCATGACCTGAGCCGAAGGCAGACGCTCAACAACTGAGCCACCCAGGCGCCCTTCAAATAAATAAATAAATAACATCTTAAAAAAAAAACAAACCAAGATTTATTTATCTGAGAAAGATTGCATCTGTGAGTGAGAGGAGGGGCGGAGGGAGAGGGGAATCCCAAGCCGACTCTGCACTGAGCGCGGAGCCTGACGTGGGGCTCAATCCCACAGCCCCGAGATCATGATTCGAGCTGAAATCAAGAGTCAGATACAACCAACTGAGCCTCCCAGGTGCCCCTGGAAAACACTATTTCTTAGCGACCATTCCATGATGGGGCACAGGAAGCTCTTCATAAACCCCTCAGGGTCTGAGTTAGGTCCTGTGACAGGCGGAAAGGTCATTCGCAGTGTTTACTGTTGGTGCAGGGGCCGGCCTGGGGGATTGCTGGTGAGCGCGCCCAGGGGGATGGCCGCTCTGTGCTCCGCCGACGCGCCCGTGTGGGGGTGCCCGTGGCAGTACCCGCAGGTCCGCACCTGCTGCTCTCAGAGGATGCCCTGGGAGGCCCGGCTGTGGGCTTGCAGCTCCCTTGCCTCCTTCCTTCTCCTCACGGGCGCTGGGTCCGACCTCGCTCACTGATGCACATCCTGCTCCTCGGCGGACGGTAGGGCCTGTCCTCAGTCCCCTTCTGTCCCCCATCCCTGCCCCCAGTGCAGAGCCGAGTAGAGCAAGGGAGCTGGGAGGGTGGAGAGCTTGTTGAGTGACCAGAGCAGGCACGCCAGTCAAGTGCTGGCTGTCCCCTGCGGTGGGCGGGGCTGCCTCTTCACAGCCTGGCACTGTCATGTCTCAGGGTCTCTGGGCATCTGGTCCTCCCCTGACAGGATGGTGCAGGCCATGGGGCACCTTGGGCCTGAGCTTGTCCACTCGTAGCTGCACCGGGCTGTGCCAGGCCTGGTCCCCTCAGCCCTTTACAAACACTGACCAAAGGCTCCTCTTGCAGGGGCTGGCGCGTGGTTAGGACAGGGACTGTGCCCTTAACAAACTTGTCCTCTAGTGGAAGAGACAGGCCAGGACACAGTACCCTTGTGTCTGGTGTCCAGCGCCCAGCCTCTGCTGCTCGGGAAGCTGCCGTGAGGCACATGTGCCCGCGGGGGTCTGGGTCATTGGTGGGATGGGAGTCTTCCAAGGTGAGCCAGTCTAGAGTGGGGGAGGGTGAGCACATGCGTAGGTGCTAGGGGTCAGCCCTGGAATGGGGGCCGGGCTCCGGGGGCCCTTGCTGTGTGTGAGTCCTGCATCACCCTCTGTTTGCACTGATGGACAAATCTATGTACCTGGGACGCCCGTCCTAACCTGGGCAGTGTCAGCTCTGCATCAGGTTTCCGGGGAGGGGTCACAGCGCCTCACCCACAGCGTTCAGATGACCTGACCTTGTTACTCTGTAGAATGACAATATGTACTTTCCCAGATTGAGGGGTGTCCAGAGATTTTCTCATTTTTTGCTATTGTAGATAATGCCGCAAATAAAACCAACTCTTTTGATTGCAAGTTATAGGAGCCTACTCCAAAAAGCCAAGCACAGCTTCACGTTCTGGGGGGGTGGGAAGCCCCCAGAACCAGAGGGAAGGCGGGGGGTGGGCCTGCTTGGGCCTGATGCAGCCTGGGCTGTCCCAGGCTCCATCCGCAATCTCTTCTTCTCTCTGAACAAGGCCATGGGTGAGTGAAGTGACACCGCCCCTCCCAGGCTCCGGGTTCCCGTTACACCGTTGCTAATCCTCACACAGGGGATACTGGGGTGGGCATGAGGGGTGATGTGGTGGAGTAGTTAACAGGGGACTTTGGATGTAGGCATGGCCTCAGTTTCCCTGTGTAGCAAATGGGGATAATGACAGAGACCTGCTGGGAGGCTATGACATTGGGTGTTGCAGGAGCATGGATCCGTTCCTGCTGGGCTGGGGTCTGGGGACTGGGCCTCCCGTCCCAGAAGCCAGGGTCCCCAGCAGCACTCTCAGCACAGTCTTTGGGGGAGGCCCAGGGCTGTGGCCACTGTCAGGCCCCTCCCACCTCAGTCCCGTACTCTTGTGCAACTTACATGGGCTCGGAGCTGAGACCTGGAAAACATCACCCAGATTTTCTGTTTGACATTCCAGCCAGACCTGGGCAGAGGATTTGTGAACAAGGTGGGAGAGGCCCTGCTTACCACCCCCCCCGCCCCCTGTGGCCTGGGTGTGGTGCACTAGCCATTCCGTGGGACCCCACTGTGCCATCTTGGCCTTGGTGGCTCAGTTGAGGGTCGAGTCTTTCACTTCTGTGGGCTTTTCCTGGACTGTGGCTGGGAGGAGGCCGCTGAGTGAGGCCTGGGGAAGGGTGTCAGTTGGGGTCCAGGGGCCTGGGGCCCAGAAGGCTTGGGGCTGAGCCTGGAGGGGCCACCCCTTGATGGAGCCTGTCCTGGGATCGGGCGTCCACTGTGGTGTTTCCCTGGCACTCCCAGGGTTACCTTAGGGTCACCTTGGGCTCAGAGAAGGTCATCAGCAGCCCAAGGACCTGCCCAAAGTTACAGGGAGACTGCCCTTAGGCATCTTCCAGCAAGGAGCACTGCTAAAGGGGCCCAAAGCAGACCCAGGGCTTTAGGAGGCTGGGCCCACTAGAGTCAGGGGCTGAGGGCCCGAGTAAGCTGCCACAGCCCAAACCAGGAGACCAGAAGTCTACAGTGTGGGCTGGCCAGGGCTCTTCCCATTGTGGCTGGGTTGGGGGAGGGGATGCTGAGGCTCTCCAGATCCTGCTTCGTGATGAATTTTCATGGATGGCCTTCAAAATGAGTAAACCAAAAGGCACGTAGAGCTGCTTGCTCTTTTTGGTTGTTTTCTGGAGGACATGGGCATCAGAACCTCTTTTAATCTATAAAGTGATGTGGTGGATGACACCTTTTAAATCTGGCTGAACTTAACACAGTCAGGTGGTGGCTTTGGTACTGGTGCCCGTCTTTAAGACGTGCAACACCCCTATGACCCGGTGAGCCCGCCCTGCCGGGGAGCCTTGGCCTAGGGGCCCCCTCCCCTTGCCACGGCTGGAGACCAAGTGCCTTGCTCCTTGCTTATGGTCCCTTGGGGTGAGTTGTTCAGGTCACCTTTCCTGCAAGGCCCGGAGAGGTGAAGGTCACACCTTGTGTGTGGGGTTGCCTACTCCCTGGGGGTGGAGGGGAGCTTGAGGGGAGGGTGCTGTGAGTGGCTAGGAGGGAAGGAGAGTCTTGCAGAGTGGGTGAGGCTCTGCCATGCCCTGTGTTTGTAGTTTGTAGCCTGCACAGCCCTCAGGGCAATTCCGGGAGAGCCCAAGGAGAAGGTGACCTTGTGCAGTGCAACCTGGGGGCAGGCAGGTCAGCGATGCTGTGGAGGACCAGGGCCTTGAGAAGCTTGCAGAAAACAGCTCCCAGGCCAGCACCTGGGCCCTGGAGAGGCAGCCTCATGGGGAAGGCCCGCAGCCCGCCGCCCGTGCAGCCCTCCTTGCTCCCTGCTCTGAGCTATGCTGCCCTTTCTGGGAACCCTGAGTGTGTGAGCCAGAGTGGGGGCGGGGCAAGCGCCCCTGCCAGGAATGTTGTCCCGCTGACTGTGGGCTGGGGATGGGCCTCGTCCGGGGTGGGCCCACCCATCTCACCTGATGGCCTGCCCCAACTGGAGCTGGCCTTGACAAGCTTCCTATTCCTCTTCCACAGGCTAGTGGGAGCCACCTGCTGTCTGCAGCCTGATCAACTGCTCTTCAGAAGGAGGCCCTCTGGAGACACAGCAGCCAGGCCTGCCGTGCCCTTGGCACCCTGGCTGCTTAGACAGTCTCACTGCTGGGCACTGGGGGCCGAGACCGCAGGACTCTGAGGGCACACCCTGCCCTGGCGTCTCTGTGGCTGGGGGCCCGCCCTCTGGCCACACCTCCCTGTTAGCACTGATGCACTGACCCTGGAAGACTGATGAGAGAGGGGAGGAAAGGCCAGGCCATGGCTGTTCCCAGACCCCACCCAGGATCCTGAGGTCTAGAAGGGGAGGGGGCTTCTAGAACTCCCACGGGCTCCCAGGGGCCTCTGCCCATTGCCTTGCCCTCCCTTCGCCCTCACTGAAGTGCCTGGACACGGCAACGTTGTTATCTGGGTAATTAGCTTCAGACCCTGGACTGAGGCTGGCCAGGTCCTGGGCTGCTTCCCACAGGCTGTGCACCCTGACCCCAAGAGGGAGGTGAGGTCCTGTCTGCTGAGCAGCCGAGGTGTCAGGGCTCTTGAGAGGCAGGCTGTGGGCACCCTCCCACACTGCCCTTTCTGCCTGGGGCCCATGTCCCTCAGGACTGCCTGGGCCTGGTCGCGGCGTGGGGCCTTGTGACCCAGCCTTGCCTAGGGCAGAGGGCACCACCGAGCCTTAGGGAGGGGATGCCCCCACGGGTGCTGGTCCAGCCTGCCGCCCCACTCCTGAGGCCCAGTCTGGCCCCTGTGCTCCCCGGTCTGGTGCCCCGAGCCGCCCCCCCGGCAGGTAGCCCCCGCCATGGCCGAGCACCTGGATCTGCTGGCAGAGATGCCCATGGTGGGGAGGATGAGTACACAGGAGCGGCTGAAGCACGCGCAGAAGCGGCGTGCCCAGCAGGTGAAGATGTGGGCCCAGGCTGAGAAGGAGGCCCAGGGCAAGCAGGGCCATCGGGAGCGGCCGTGGAAGGAGGCAGCCCGTGGCAGGCCACAGAAGCGGGTCCTTTTCCCTCCTGGTGTTACCCTTCTAGAGGCTGCTGCCCGAAATGACCTGGAAGAAGGTGAGCGTGGCTGAGCCCTGGGGCACAGTGCCATCCTGTGGAGACCCAGGGGCTGGCCTGGCGTCCTCAGTGGCATGCTCTTGAGTGGTAGGCCACCTGAGGCTAGCCCGTGATGGGGTGGCACACACAGGGTGCTGCTGCAGGGGTGAGGCTGACGGGGGGTTGAGCAGGGGCATCAGGCAAGCCCACAGGAGCCTGGGCAAGCGCCCAGAGCTTCCCTCAGGTGGGCTGGGAGTGGCCCATAGTCTTCGCCGCCTCTTGCCCGGGTGCTGGGCGATGATCAGGAGAGTCCTGGCCACCACCTGCTTGGGTCCTCAGTCTCCACCTCTGTAAAGGAGGACGGTAACGCCCCACCTCAGCAGGTTAGAGCACAGACGCAGGGATCCCCCACAGACCAGCCCCCTCGACACCTGCCTCAGGCCCTGTCTTTGACTTCTTCCTCCCCATCAGGACCTTCCTGGCTAGATGACAGGCCTGAGCTTTTGGCAGGCTCCTCATTCCTCCCCGGCAACCCTGTGTGCTCACAGCCCCTCCCTCTCCCGGAGAGGCTCTGGAGGGCTCTTCCCGCCTTCCTCCAGGGCAGAGGCTGGGGTGCAGAGGGCGAGGAGGGGCGGGCAGTGCCTCAGGGCAGGGAAAGTAGAGGAGGGTATGGTGAGCCTGCCGCAGGCCATGGCTCTAGGAAGGAGGGTGAGTCCTCCTGTTGCCTGTGGGGCACAGTCAGAGGGCCAGACCGTCCAGGAGGTCCATGGTGACCTTGGCGACAGCCTGGGCCCCCACTGAACAATGAGGACAGGGACTAGCTCTGCTGAGGGGAGACCCTGGGGGGACAGGCCTGCACGCCTTGGGCCCCACTGAGGGCCTGCTCTGGGCTGGGGCATGTGTAGGGTTCAAGAGCTCTGCTAGTGGAAGAGGCTTGGGGGAGCATGGGACCCAGTGAGGGTATTGTTGGGGGACGGTGCCAGAACCCCGGCCAGGGACTGTCCTCAGGTGCCTGAGGCTTGGAGTGTAGGGATTCAGGGGGTGGGTCCCGCTTGGTGCTGGAGGCAGGAGCATGCCGTGCACGCACACTTGGGGCAGACAGAGACCCAGTGCCCCGGCTCTTGAGCCCTCAGCCTGGGCTTGGGGGTCCCTCTGGCCCCCTGCACCTCTGTTCTCCTCGACATTCCCTGCTCCCAGCTGTAGTACGGCGGTCAGCCCAGGTACCCTCAGGTGCCCTGCGCCCCGACTAGAATAGTGTTGGCCTGTGGCCGGACCGCTCTCTGCGCTCTTACCACACTCCCTCCTCCCCCTTCTCACAGTCCGCCAGCTCCTTGAGAGTGGGGTCAGCCCCGACCTGGCCAATGAGGATGGCCTGACGGCCCTGCACCAGGTCAGCCGTGCCGGGCGGGGAGGGGGTGGGAGAGGAGGGGCGCAGGCCTGGGCTCTGGCACTCAGGCTCTGTGGCTTGTAGAGCTGCATTGATGACTTCCGGGAGATGGTGCAGCAGCTCCTAGAGGCTGGGGCCAAGGTCAATGCCCGCGACAGTGAGAGCTGGACACCCCTGCATGCTGCGGCCACCTGTGGCCACCTGCACCTGGTGGAGCTGCTCATTGCCCGGTAGGGCCCCATCGGTGTGGCAGGAGTGGGCGTCTGTATCAGGGAGGGGCTGCAGTTGGGCCAGGAGAGGCAGGACCTTCCTTGCAGACAGGAGTTCATCCTGAGACACAGCCCAGGTGTCTCCTCTGCAGGAAGCATGCTTGGCCCTTGCTTCATTTGTTTCCACTCACCTTTGCTTACCCTGACTTCACCCTGCCATGGAGATCAGGGCCTGGGCAGAGGCTGCAGACACAAGGGAACAAGCATGTACTCGGGGAAGTGTGGTAGTTCTGGGCGCATCCTCCTGCCAAGCCCCCTTAAGAGTTTGGGAACTCCTCGAGGGTGGGCCTTGGCCTCTAGCTCTGGTCTCCCTGGGGTCTGACAGAGACATGCCCTTCTGGACAGAGTGATGAAGGCAGCACTGGCAAAGATGGAGGGGGCTCCTGGACATGGATGGGGTCTTTGACAAGGAGGGTGGAGCAGGGTAGGGCTTCTTGGTGAACGGGAGGGGTGGTCGGCTTTACCAGGGTCCAGGATTTCCCCCACTGCCACGGCCTCTCAACTCTGACCCCCACCGCAGAACAGATGGTCAGGGGCGCAGGCTCTCCTTGGTGTGGTCTAGGTGCTGATGGTGTGTGGGTGGTTGGCAGTCTCTTCCCTTCACACACACATGCCGTAGAGTGGGCACCCACCTTTGTGTTCTGTGCTCCCCTGCAGCTCCCTGTCCTCCCCCTGGCCGTGCCTCTGCTTGAGCCTTGTTCCCTGCAGCTTTCTCCTGGCATCTAGGCTCTTCTCCTCCCTCTACTTTTTGCTCCCCGAGGCTCCTAGAGTCCTGGCACTCCCTCCTGGCTGGTGGGCCCACTGTGTGGGTTGACAGGGGCACATGGGTGTGGGACCTGGAGCTCAGACACGGGTGGAGACTGGGGGGTGGCCTAACTGGTTTGAGGGCACGATCCAGAGCTGAGGGGCATCAGGGGCCTGGGCCTCCTCCATCTTTGACCCACGCTGTCCTGGAGAGCAGCCCCAGGCTGAGGGCCTCCGCAGAGGGTGGACTAGAGGCCTCCATGGGGGAGAAAGGCTCTGTGGCCAAAGCCCCTGTCCATTCTTCTTGCAGTGGTGCCGACCTCCTGGCCGTCAACACTGATGGGAACATGCCTTATGACCTCTGTGAGGATGAGCAGACGCTGGACTGCCTGGAGACAGCCATGGCCAGCAGCGGTGAGTGGGACCCCACTCGCCCACGCGGGGTGCCTGGGGCACCAGCTGAGCTTGCTGCCCTTCAGGCATCACCCAGGACCGCATTGAGGGGGCCCGGGCGTTGCCAGAGCTGTGCATGCTGGACGACATCCGCAGCCTGCTGCAGGCGGGAGCCGACATCGATGTCCCCCAGGACCACGGGGCCACGCTGGTGAGGATGGGGCCATGGGAGGTGCAGGTGGGGAGGTTGCTGCTGGAGGGGCACGGCAGGGACTCAGGGCTGAGCACTTTGCCTGTAGCTACACATCGCAGCTGCCAACGGATTTGGCGAGGCAGCTGCCCTGCTGCTGGAGCACCGGGCCAGCCTGAGCACCAAGGACCAGGACGGCTGGGAGCCGCTGCACGCTGCAGCCTACTGGGGCCAGGTGAGTGTGCGGTGGGGGCAGCTGGCCCAGCGGGGGGCGGGGGTGGGGGCTGTCCTGGCTCCTGGCTCCAGGCCCTTCAGCAGCCCGGGCTCGCCGGCCCTCAGGTGCATCTGGTGGAGCTGCTCGTGGCACACGGGGCCGACCTGAATGGGAAGTCTCTGATGGACGAGACGCCTCTCGGTGAGCTGGGGCTGCCTCTGCTAGTGTAGAGGGTGAGTGAGAGGGCACCGGTGACCCTCCGCCCACTTCTCCTAGACGTGTGCGGGGACGAAGAGGTGCGGACCAAGTTGCTGGAGCTGAAGCACAAGCATGACGCGCTCCTGCGTGCCCAGGGCCGCCGGCGCTCTCTGCTGCGCCGCCGCACCTCGAGCGCGGGCAGTCGGGGGTGAGCGCCTGTGGTCGATCCCAGTGTTTCGCCCTGGCCGGCAGGCAGCCTGCCCACACCCCCACCTCCCCCCGACTCTGCCCAGCCCTTGCCCCTGCTGACGTGGCTGCAGAGTCCGCAGGGCAAGTGGCCCCCTCCCCCCACCCTCACCGTGCCCTCCTGCAGGAAGGTGGTGAGGAGGGTGAGCCTGACCCAGCGCACCAGCCTGTACCGCAGGGAGCATGCCCAGGAGGCCATTGTGTGGCAGCAGCCACCGCCCACTAGCCCAGAGCCGCCCGAGGAGGACGAGGATGGCCAGACGGACGCGGAGCTGCGACCCATGCCCAACGAGGTGAGCCCCCGCTGTCCGCCTCCAGCATGGCGGCTGTGGGCCTGGGCGCTACCCTCTGTGTGTGGTGCAGGTGTGTGGCCTGACCTCGGTGCCTCATTTCTCCCACCACAGCCGCCCTAGGAGTCCGTGGGACCCTGGGCCCAGTGCAGCACGCTCATTTCTGCCCCCTGACTCCCACGCAGCCTGGGGCCCATGGCGGCCAAGGGAGGCCAGAGAAGGCCTTCCTGAAGGCCTCTGAGGCCCATGCTTCCCCAGCAGGAGGACGACCCCGAGTCGGCCAGGCCGCACAATGGCCTAGTTGGAGGCACCCCAGGGCGGCACCTGTACTCCAAGCGGCTGGACCGGAGCGTCTCCTACCAGCTGAGCCCCCTGGAGAGCAGCACCCCCGATGCCCTGGTCCGGGCCAAGGCCCACCACACGCTGGCAGAGCTGAAACGCCAACGAGCCGCTGCTAAGCTGCAGCGTCCCCTGCCTGAAGGACATGAAGCCCCCGAGCCTGGCTTGCCTGCGGACGCCGAGAACCCCCAGCCAGAGTGCAGCTCCGGGGCTGGGGGAGATCCGCCCCTGCTGAAGCTCACAGCACCCTCAGAGGAGGCCCCCATGGAGAAGAGGCCCTGCTGCCTGCTCATGTGAGGGGCTGGCACCCAGAGTCACAGAGTCCTGTTGTCAGGCCCCGCTGTAGGCTGCCATGGGGCCCCTGCTCTGGAGACCCCGGTGTGTGCCCTGGTGCTGCTGCTGGGGGATAGCCCGTGCAGGGCCTCCCGCGTTCCCCCCATCCAAGGGTGCCAGCTTCCTTGCTCAGGGATGAACCTCTGGCGGAGGCCCTCCTGGGGGTTACCTGGCTGCAGAGACCTAGTTTCATCGTATGACTCTTGATAAAGGGCTATTCTGCCACCTGCCTTGTTGTGTGTGTCAGCAGGGCCACTGTCCTGAGAGTGGAGAGCTGTTGTGTTGCTGCTTCTGGATGTGCCTGTCCCTGTTCGGGGGCCTGTAGGTGCTTGCTTGTGGCTGCCTGGCCCTGCGTGGGAGTGAGGCCCCCGGCCGCTGGGCAAGAAGCCTGGCCTGTGCTGCAGCCTGCCTCCCTGCCTTCCCAGCCTCCTGGAGGCTCCTCTGTAACTCTTTCCTTTCCTGGGAGGAGCCGGGAGCTCTGGAAGGACATTCCTTGGGGGTCAGGGCTGGGGGTATCCATGCCAGAGGGGCAGGGATCCTGGCTTGGAAGGGGAGGGGGCTTTCCACAAGACTCTTGAGCCGCAGAGGGTAGAATCCGTACAAGGCTGGAGTCAGGAACCTCCCTGGGGGATGAGTCCCCTGTTCCTGGCACGTAGCCCTGGTTCTGGGGCCTGGCTGCCAGCCTCCAACTGGGCTGGCAAAGGGGGCCAGCGGTTGGCCGCCCAGATTCTGAGCCGGCTGGGCACAATGTGTCAGGGTGACAGGGGCCCCTTAGGGGCCTCGAGTGGGAGGGCTGAGGGCACTGCTAGCTCATTTGTCCATGGTGGGCAGCTCTGCATGGCCACCAGTGCTGGTCACCTTCCCCTCCCCGGTGGGTACTGACCCAGGCAGCCCCGTGTCTGCAGGGCCCACCCTTTCCTGAGCATCATTGGTTGGAGGGGTGTTCTCAGCAGGGCTGGGGAGGGCCAGGGGATGGGCTGCAGGTTAAATTTAGTGTGTGGGGCAGTGTAGTGGCCAAGGTCCACCTGCTAACACACTTGGGCCTTGCTGCCAGGGGTGGGAGGGGGCTGGCTCTGCCTGGGGCTGGGACCATATAAACTTGTGCTCTGGCCTGGGCGTGGCATAGGCCACCCTCAGGCCTGACCAGCTGCCCACAGCCTCTCTGAGGGCTGGCTCCTTGACCTTCCGCTCAGACTCAGATGTCAGCAGCTGGGGTAACTACCCCTGGGCATGGCCTATCAGCTCCCTTCAGGGCCTGGGGAGGTGGGGCTCCGAGGGCCTATCACAGCTCCCTTCCCACTATCACTACCAATCAGGAGCAACGGGAGGGGAGCTTAGGTCACCCTGCCTGTGGTGTGGCCCCAAGGGCAGCTCCAGGCTGGCGCATGGTGAAAGGGCACAACGGCAGCCCAGAGCAGCCAAGGTGCCCGAGGGCCCAGAGCCGCCCTACCCTGTCACACAACATCCCAACCCAGAGACTCTGGCCTCCACCAATTGCTGGTCTGGGGCCAAGGTCCAACCGCAGGGCTCCTGCAGCCTGTGGGCCATGGTTGCCAGCCCAGGAGGGGCTGGCCAGATGGAACCCCGCGCCTGAGCTTTCGCTCCCCTCCCCCAGTAACGCCAGGATTCTATAGAGGCCTGACTCAGTTACCTGGGAGACAGGCCTGCTGGCCCAAGCAAAGATGGGGGGCCTGAGAGGGCTAGGCCTTGGCAGAGCCCTGCTGGGGTAAATCTCCAGGGGCCCCAGCTCCATTTCCCCTGGGGGTTTAGCTCTGCCCAGCTTTGCCAACCCCTCCGGGCATGCAGCGTACCTCCCCTCCCCCAGTCCCAGTCCCTCAGAGCTTCTTGAACCTTCTGTCTGTCCCTACCCCCCATGCAGGTCTCCTGCTCCCTGGTCATGGGGACACTGGGCGGGCACTGGGCCTTGCCCCAAGCCCCGCCTGCCTCCTCATGCACTCCCTATGGCTCCCTGGGGCAGAACTGTGCCCAGATCGGTGGGGCGGGGCCCAGCGGTCCCGACTTCTTCAGCCTTTTCTGTCCCTTTCAGTGGGGCCAGCAGGCTGCAGTGAAGAGGGTGCCCTTTACCTTGAGCCCCTCTACCCAGGCTCCGTCTTCCCAGCCCCGGCCAGCTGAGTCTGGACCCAGCTTCCCTTATCCCCACTTCTGAATTCTGCCGTGTCCTGACCTTCCTGCCTGGTCTGAGTAGGGTCATGGCCTTGAGGGCAGGTCACCACAGCCAGGTTGCAATGAACGGGCTGAAGGAGAAGGTGCTGACGCTGGACACCATGAACCCGTGTGTTCGGAGGGTGGAGTATGCAGTACGTGGTCCCATTGTGCTGCGTGCCCTGGAGCTGGAACAGGAGCTGCGCCAGGTATGGCCCTGGGCCCCGCCACTGCCCTCCAGCTGCATCTGGACAGCTGAGTCAGACCCATTCCCACAGTCACACAGGACAAGGACCTGCCAGAGTGATAGATGGCCCATTCTCACTGCCTGTGCCCCCTCCCTCCCAGGGGGTAAAGAAGCCCTTCACTGAGGTCATCCGCGCCAACATCGGGGATGCACAGGCCATGGGGCAGAAGCCCATCACCTTCCTGCGTCAGGTGAGGCTCAGCATGGCTCTGTGCTCCTCCCCAGTCAGCCCATGTGCTCTGGCTCAGTGTCCGATGCTCCCAGGTCCTGGCCCTTTGCGTCCACCCCGATCTCCTGAACAGCCCCGACTTCCCAGAGGATGCCAAGAGAAAGGCTGAGCGCATCTTGCAGGCGTGTGGGGGACACAGCCTGGGTAAGTGCCAGTGCCCAAACCGGCCAAAGCCCCAGAGAGGAGCAGGCAGGAGGCCCTCGCATGGGAGGGGTGGACTCGGCTGCTGGAAGGGGGCAGAGGTACTCGGGAGGATTGCTAAGGTACCTCTCGGGTCCTCTTCTCCTCCCCGACCTGCCTCACCCCCTGGCCCAGGGGCCTACAGCGTCAGCTCCGGCATCCAGCTGATCCGGGAGGATGTAGCTCGGTACATCGAGCGGCGCGACAGAGGCATTCCCTCAGACCCCAACAACATCTACCTGTCCACTGGGGCCAGCGACGCCATCGTGGTAGGCCAGGGCCAGGGCAGGAGGACACCGGGGCTCTTTGTGCGGCTGGGCGGACCTTGCTTCTCCTGGCACTGTGGATCCGGGCGGGGCGCGGAACAGGTGCAATCCCTGTGGGCCCCACCAGCCTTGCCTCCCCATCCCTACAGACAGTGCTGAAGTTGCTGGTGGCCGGAGAGGGCCCCACCCGCACAGGTGTGCTCATCCCCATCCCTCAGTACCCGCTGTACTCAGCGGCGCTGGCCGAGCTCAACGCTGTGCAGGTGGACTACTACTTGGATGAGGAGCGGGCTTGGGCACTTGACGTGGCCGAGCTGCGGCGTGCCCTGTGCCAGGCGCGTGGTTATTGCTGCCCACGTGCACTCTGCATTATCAACCCTGGCAACCCCACTGGTGCGCCACCCATCCCCCCAGCCTTGCCGCTTCTCCCTCCCCCTCCCATCCCCACCCCTTCCCCCTCCGCCTCCCCTCCTCGTGGTGCCGCCTCTCGGGTGCAGAGCGCAGAGCCCAAGAGTCTGACCCTGGAAATGCTGCATCCTCCGCGCTCCAGGGCAGGTGCAAGCCCGCGAGTGCATCGAGGCCGTGATTCGCTTTGCCTTCGAGGAGCGCCTCTTCCTGATGGCTGATGAGGTGCTGGCAGAGGCTCGCCTGGGGCTTGGGGTTGGAGGGCAGCAGTGGCAGCCCCCCGCCCCCCCTCCCCCCGTGACGCCTGTCCGCCCATCCAGGTGTACCAGGACAACGTGTATGCGGAGGGCTCTCAGTTCCACTCGTTCAAGAAGGTGCTCGCGGAGATGGGGCCGCCTTACGCGACGCAGCAGGAGCTCGCCTCCTTCCACTCCGTATCCAAGGGCTACATGGGAGAGTGCGTGCGGGCTGAGCGGGCGGGGTCTCGCGGACTCCACCCCTGGCTTGGCTCCCCCTCGCCCTGCCTTGACACCTGCCTTCCCTGTCCGGCAGGTGCGGGTTCCGTGGTGGCTACGTGGAGGTGGTGAACATGGACCCCGCCGTACAACAACAGATGCAGAAACTGATGAGTGTGCGGCTGTGCCCGCCTGTGCCGGGCCAGGTCCTGCTCAGCATGGTGGTCAGCCCACCGGCGCCCTCCGACCCCTCCTTCGCGCAGTTCCAGGCGGTGAGCGGGCGGGGCGGGGAGGGGAGGAGGTTCGATCATGCGACGTGGGCCGCCAGGTCTGATCAGCCCACCTCCGCGGCCACAGGAGAGGCAGGTGGTGCTGGCCGAGCTGGCGGCGAAGGCGAAGCTCACGGAGCAGGTTTTCAACGAGGCTCCCGGCATTCGCTGCAACCCGGTGCAGGGCGCCATGTACTCCTTCCCTCGCGTGCAGCTGCCCCCGCGTGCTGTGCAGCGCGCTCAGGTAGGTCGGGCCGACTGGCGACTGGAGTGAGGGCAGGCGAGCGAGGCCCGAGAGCGGGGGGGGGGGGGGGGGGGGGGGGGGGCGGGGGGGGGGGGGGGGGGGGGGGGGGGGGGGGGGGGGGGGGCGGCGGGCGCCAAGTCTGGGCACCCAGTCCTGACGGCCCAGCCCGGTCCTTCCGCCCCCAGGAGCTGGGCTTGGCTCCTGACATGTTCTTCTGCATGCGCCTTCTGGAGGAGACCGGCATCTGCGTGGTGCCCGGGAGTGGCTTCGGTCAGAGGGAAGGCACCTACCACTTTCGGTGAGGCCCGGCCCCGCGTGGTTTAGCCTGGCAGCCCCCAACACCTTTGCTTACCTCCCTCCCCGTTTTAGGATGACCATTCTGCCCCCCATGGAGAAGCTGCGGCCTCTGCTGGAGAAGCTGAGCCAGTTCCACGCCAAGTTCACCCGAGAGTACTCCTGAGGCACCCCCCTCCCCTCCCTCTTCGGGCCAGGGTAGGCCGGCAGGTCCAACCCTGGACTTACCATGGCCAGGGCCCTGGGGTCTCTGGAGCCCTCTGGACTTGCTGCCTGTGGGGCTGGGCCCCTGCCTTTCTGCAGGCCCCTAATAAAGCTGTGAAGCAGCCTGATTACATGGAAGCCGGCTGTGTGCACACCTGTATGAGCCTTTGTCCACTCCTGACTTCCTTTCTGAGCTGGGGCTCTGTGCAGGCCTGGAGACCCAGGCCAGCAGGACATTTGTCAGCCTCCAGGAGAAGCAGTCAAGGAGGGCTCCCAGAGGAAGTGACCTTACTGCAGATGCAGCACCTCTCACAGGCTGGGTCTCCACTGTGGTCTCTGGTCTGGGGGCCGACACTGGCAAATGTCACATAAAAATTAGGAAGAGCAAGAGGTATGAAGGAAGCCACTAGGTTGGGAATGAAGCTGGACAAAAAAACATGGGAGCTGAGTCCCAGGGGTGGCCACATCCAAAAGAGTGGTCTAAGGAAGACAGAGCCAGGTGGCCTTGCTCCCCTTCCTGTACCGTTGGCCTCTCCCCTGCAGCACAGGGATCACGCTGAGCTGTGAGATGGAGCTGGCTGGGTGGGTGAGCAGCAGGAAGTGGAGTCACAGTGAGGACTCAAGGAGGGAGTCTTGGTTTTCCTCCTAAATGGGCAGATGGCACGGTGCTGCTACCTGAGGCTGCTGGAGGAACAGCTGTGCCAAGAGTGGGGACGGAGAATGAACAAATAGGTCTTGCTTTGTTTGTATTGGGTTTTTGAAGTGTGTGGCATCCTAGCGCAAACACAGTCCTTGGACTGGGAGGCAGTGAGGGGCGGCCCTCCCACGCTGGAGCACCCGAGGGCAGGTGCCAGGGAGAAGAGCATGTAAAATGCTGACGAAGGGGCACCCTGGGGAGACCCAGGCTGGGGGGTGGGTGTGCAGCCCTCTGCCCTCCTACTGTGGGCAAGACAGACTCAAGTGTGGGTCACTGCAGTCGTCTTCGGTAGGGGTGGTAGTCCCCGTTTTACAGACGAGGAAACTTGTCGAAGTGATAGGAAACCCACTCGAGGTGGCTTCACCAGCTGTTACTCTAGGGGTTGGGTTGGCTTCAGGGGGTCAAGGGTTTGGAGACAGTACTAAGGCTCTAGATCTGTCCGCTCTGGAGGTGGTTCTTAACCATGGGCCATACTCACTACCCCCTCTGGGCCTCGGGAGCCCTGCGGGTTGCAGCTCTGAGCAGGAGAGACGGCATGAGACCCCCACATCAGCTGCTCCTGGGACAGGCCTCTCCCTCCACAGAGCCCCCCTGGAGTGAGGCAGGGCTTGGGCCCGCCCCACCCGCCTCTCCTGGCCTTGTCACTGGACACTAGAGGGCGGCCCCAGCAGCAGCGGGCCGTATCGCCCTGGCTGAGACCTTTCACACAGACGTGGCTTTCAGGGCCCTCCGCGGCCCCGGGCTGGGCGAGGGCCGCAGGGGCGGGAGGAAGCCGCAGTGCACGGGCACTTAAGAGGCCGACTCCTCCCTGGGGGCTGCTGGGAGGACCCGGTGGACACTGCAGCAGCCAGGCTCCAGGTGGGACACCAAGTCAGGGTGTGGGTCCGGGGGTGGTCTGGGAGCCGGATCTGATACCCTTGGGAGGGTCCAAGGTGGGCCGCGGGCTCAACCCCAGCTAGGCGAGCGGCCGTCCATGCCCGCGGCTGCCCGGCCGCACCTAGGTTGGCCACTGGGGGCGCCCGAGGGCGGCCGGCGCTCTGGCCGGCTCGCGTGCTCTGTGGCCGCTGCGTCCCGCGGCTGCGTAGTGCGCACGCCCCCAGGACCCGCGGGCGCCGGCCTGTCCCACCCTGACCTGAGTGGCCCAGCTCCGGAGCCATGCTGTCGTGTGACCCCTGACCTCATCGTGACGGGACCAGACCCCGTCCGGGACCGCTCTGCCCCGGCTCCAGGCTCTGGTCCGGCCTTGAACCCAGCCCCCGTCCCCGCCCGGTCGCGGGCCGGGTCCCGGGCGCCCCGCGTTCCCGGCCATGCACGGGAAGCTGCTGCCGCTGGCCGGCCTTTACCTGGTGCAAGGCCTGCCCTATGGGCTGCAGTCTGGCCTGCTGCCTGTGCTGCTGCGGGCGCGTGGCCTCTCCCTGACGCGCGTGGGACTGGCCAAGGTGCTGTACCTGCCCTGGCTGTTTAAACTCTTGTGGGCCCCCCTGGTGGACACGCGGGGCTCCCTGAGGGCCTGGCTGATGCTCAGCACGGCTGCTCTGGGCCTGGTGTGCGGGCTGCTTGCAGCCTCGCCTCCCGCGGAAGCCGGCCCGGCGGGCCTGCCGGTCACTGTGGTGGGGCTGCTTCTGTTGCTGAACCTGGGTGCGGCTGTGCAGGATGTGGCCCTGGACACGCTGGCCGTCCAGCTCCTGGAGCCAGCTGAGCTAGGGCCTGGTAACACAGTGCAGGTGGTCGCTTACAAGCTGGGGGCAGTGCTGGCGGGAGGGGGCCTGTTGGCCCTTGTACCTACCCTCTCCTGGTCCCTGCTCTTCCTGCTCCTGGCAGCTACCTATTGGTTGGCTGCTGCGCTCGTCTGGGCGGCGCCGGCCCTGCAACAGCCGCCCTCCTCTGGGCCGTCAGAACCCGTCCTCCACAGCCTGTGCCTTCTGCAGCACCTGCTGGCCATGCCCGGTACTCTGTGGACAGCAGGCTTTGTGCTCACTTACAAATTGGGTAAGTGAGGCTGTGAGCCAGGCAACAGCAGGGGCGGGAGCCGGGGGCCCTGGAGCCCGTTTTGTGGTCACCTTCTGGGGGATTAACTGCAGGCTGGAGCCCAGCCTGGCTCTGCAGCTTCTCCAGCTCTAGCTGCACGGCTTCTGTGAGCTCCAGCCGCACCCCCTCGGGTCTCTGACACTGCTTCATGCTGACCCTAAGCTTGGCTGATGCCCCAGGACGGAGGCAAGGCAGGGCCCCGGCTAGGGGAGTGCACCTAAAGCCCCAGGTGAAGGGAGGTGGGGAGCCCCTGCTCACATTCTCCCCACAGGTGAGCAGGGTGCCAGCAGCTTGTTTCCGCTGCTCCTGCTGGACCACGGCATCTCCACGCCAGAGCTGGGGCTGTGGAACGGCGTGGGCGCTGTGCTCTGCTCCATTGTAGGCTCATCCCTGGGCGGGGCCCTGCTGGCCAGGCACAGGTGAGCCCTCCCCGGCCTGCTCCACCCACCTGCTCCCACCCGACCTGCGCACCCTCCCTGACCCGTCCCCTCCCCCCACCTCAGGCAACCAGTGCCCCTGCTGAGGTCAGTGCTTGGGTTCCGGCTCGGGGGTCTAGCCTGCCAGACCACCCTACTCTTCCACCTGGACACCCCGGGGGTCAGGCTGGGCTCCAGCACAGTCCTAAGAGGTGAGGGGCTGGCCACGGGAGGGGAGGAGTCCAGTGTCCTGGGCTCCGCTGATGTTGGCCCTCCCAGGGGCAGCCTTGCTGAGCCTGTGTGTGCAGCACTTCCTGGGGGGCCTGGTTACAACCACCACGTTCACCCTGATGATGCACTGTAGCCAGCTGGCGCCCAGTGCCCTGCAGGTAAGAGGGTGCGGCTGGGATGTCCAGGGGGGCTGCAGGGCTGGGATCCAAGCGAGCCCTCACCTGATCTCACACCTCATCCCACCTCGCCCCTGCAGGCCACACACTACAGCCTCCTGGCCACTCTGGAGCTGCTGGGCAAGCTGTTCCTGGGCACAATGGCCGGGGCCCTGGCTGACAGCCTGGGGCCGCATCTCTGCTTCGCCCTCTTCCTTGCTCTCTCAGGCATGCCCATTCTGTATCTGAGCCTGGCGCCCAGCACCCTGGCCTGAGCTGGGTGGCCGGCCTAATAAAGCTGAGCGTGCCCATGGCCTGGCTGTCTGGGGTGTGTGATGGGCACGGCTGTCCTCAGAAAAGAGGATCCTAAGAATGACTTTTGAGCATTTTTTATTCTGCATTTTGGGGCTTCCTTACCCCCGCACTTCTGGTGGTGGGCTTTGCCCAGGGTTGTTAGTCATTGTCATGGCCATCGATGTCCCTTTTCCCTGACGCAGTGCCACACCCGATTCCCTCCGTACTGTGGCCACGCGGCCTCCTGTGCATGCCTGTCCGTGATGGGGGGGAGCAGGGCCCGCCCACGGCAGGGTGGTCAGCGGCCCCACCGCAGGATCTCCTCTGTGGCTAAGTGCATCAGGGCGGGGAAGCTCAGATGCAGGTACCTTCTCCAGAAGCGCCGGTCCCGCCCATACACCTGCGCTGGGTAGCGGGGGCTTCCTGCGGTGGAATGGGACACATGACCCTGAGGACTCTGGGCCATGCCCGGCCCCTGCCCGTTATCAGAGCCCAACCTCCTAGGCCCTCACCAATGCCGTGGAAGATACGGGCCACAGCCCTGCCTGAGAACTGCTGGTCTGGCCACGAGGACAGAAGGTGGCGGACGTCCTGGCGAATCTGGTCCTCCCAGTCCTGGATCTGTGGGTGGCATGTAGTGGACTGTGAGCGCGTGTGCGCCCTGCAGCCTGACCTCACTGCAGGCCAGGAGGGGCTAGCACTCACCCTGGCCTGTCCTGGCTCTGGGCCCTGCTCGTCTTCCGTGCCCCCTGAACCCTCTTCCTCGAAGTAGCAGCTGAGCAGGGCCTTGAGCCTGGCGCTGCGCTCCTCATCAGGCTGCTCCAAGCAGGGCCCGCAGCTGGGGAAGGCGACGCTGGAGTGAGAGTGATCTGTCAGAGCTGCTCACCTGAGGGAAGGGTGGAGGTGGCCCCAGGCCCCGCCCACCCCTCCTGCACCTGTGAAAGGCCTGGAAAGTGTGGCGCAGGCGGGCCAGAGCCTCCTGCTCTCGGGCTTGTATGTGGCCATACAGGAAGTCACAGATCTGGTCCCTCTCGTGGGCCGTCAGGTCTCCAGGACTACGCAGACAGAAGGCAAGCTCCCGGAACTCCACCAGCACCCCCGTGTCTCGAGGTGCACCTGCCAGAGATCTTGTCACGCACGGGTGAGCGGGCGGCAAGCAGGGCTGGGGCCAAGGAGGGCTGGGGGCAGGGCGCACCTGTCCCGGGCTCTGGCTCCCACTGCAGCTGACGGAGAGCCTGCTGTACAGAGGCCAGCTTCCAGCCCACTGAGCCGGCCAGCTGCAGCACATCGAACTCGACAGAACAGCTTCCCCCACCTGTGTTCTGTGGTGGCTGCTGGGCCAAACACATGGCCAGGAGGGGACACCTGCACCAGCGGAAGGGACATAGGATGAACAGTCCTGGCTCTGTGTCCCTGGCCGCAGCCCGGGCCGGGACGTGTGCTCACCTGTGGGCCAGGGCCTGGAGCTGGGGGGGGCCTCCGGGGCAGCGCAGGCAGCACCGGGTGCAGGTGGGTGTCAGCAGCTCCAGCCAACGCTGTGGGTGGAGCTCCAGGTAGCACAGCAGGGTCTCAATGGCTGGGGGGCAGAGCCGGGTTTAGGGGACATGGGGACATGGGCATGTGGGGACGTGCCCACCGCCACCCCCAGTTCCTCACCCTCCTCAGGCATGTCCAGGACCTGCACCAACGGCTGCACTGGGAGTGCCCGCTCGTGGCCCGGGCACCGGGCTGTGCGCTCAATGTTGGGTTGCTCGGCCTCCCTCAGGGACATGGCCACAGGCCTCTCCTGGCTCTCGGCTCCATCCTGCTCCGGGGGGCGTTGGGCATGGGCACGGGTGCAGGTACAGGGTGGGAACGAGCACTGGACCAGCTTCTTCACGGCGAGAAAGTCGGTGGCGTCAGCATACACGTGTCTCCGCAGCTCCTGCAGGTCCTGGCCCTGCGACACGGCAGCCGTGAACGGGTGGCTGGGTGTGTGTGGTGGGGGGGTGGGGGTGGGTTCGAGCGGGGCAGGGAAGAACCTGGGGTTGTAGGAAGAGGTGGCAATGCGCCGGCTGGCCGTCACGCCCGGCCCGGCCCACAGCCTGTACGTAGCTCTCGAAGCTCGTGGGCAGCCCCAGGTGCAGCACAGCCCGCACGTCTGGCCGGTCCAGCCCCATCCCGAAGGCCACCGTGGCCACCACCACCCGCAGCCGGCCGTCCATGAAGGCCTGCTGCACCCGCCGCCGCTCCCGGCTACACATGCCGGCGTGGTAGGCTTCAGCTACAGCCTTGGAGGCCTGGCCTGCGGGGAAGACAGACAGTTGGGTAGACTGTGTTCCTGAGGCAGCTCCTGCGGGGCACAACCCTGCTGACCTCACCTCTGGGCCCCAGGTCCCGGGCCTCAGGCAGGCAGGTGCGGAGCAGTGTGGCAACACGCTCTGTGTCCTCGCGTCTATTGCAGTACACGATGACAGAGCTCAGAGCACAGAAACGATCACTCCGCAGCAGTGTCACCAAAGCCTGGTGGGTGATGGTGGTCAGTGGGGGCTGTCAGAGGCCGTGCCTCTGCCTGGCCTAGGTGTGTACACCTACCTGGTCTGGGTCCCTGTCCATGGACACAGAGAGGTACAGGTTGGTGGGGATGGTGACTGGCCCTCTGAGGACAAGCTCCTCGGCCACACCTAGATGCCGGGCCACATCTCTCGAGGTGCTGCGTGTGGCCGTGGCCGTGAGGCCCAGGAAGCAGCGCACACCCATGTGTTCCCGCAGCACCTGTGTGGGAGTGGAGCTGGTGAAGATGCCCAAGCTGCCCTCCCTGGCCTGCTCGCTCACACCCCGAATAAGACTCACCTTGCAGACGCGCAGGTAGCAGGGCCGGAAGTTGTGGGACCAGTGGGAAAGGCAGTGGGCCTCATCAACACAGGCAAAGGCGACCGGAGGCAGCTGAGGGAGGCAGCCAGGGGTCCCTGCCCCAGCCCCAACCAGCGCCTCGGGTGACAGCATCAGCACGTGCACCTGGGCTGCCTGAACCTGAGGATGCAAGGTCAGGAGCATCATCCAAGGGCCTGTCTGCTCCCCTGCCCATCTTGCCACGTAAGGCCCCTCACCTTCTTCAAGGCAGACTCCCGCTGCTTCCTGGTCATGCCTGAATGTATGCAGGCTGCCTTCAGGCACGGGGGCAGGCCAGACACCTGCAGGTACAGGAGAACAACCAGTTACGAGCCACCCTTCCTTGGCCCTCCCTCCAATGGCTCTCAGCTGCTCAGCCTGACAGCAACCACCATCTCTGCCTCAGGCTCTCTAGGGAGAACGAGCCCAGACTGTGGAGCCTAGGACTAAGGATTCAGAGCCACCCAGAGCCTTGGCTCAGAAGCGCCAGGAGCAGACAGGCCCTACTGGGGCTGCCCCCTCCCCAGTGCCACTCCTCCTGGGGACTGGCCCACGTCCGGCCAGCTGCCACGTCCCTGCCGTGCTGGGGCCACTATGAGGCCTGGGGTTGTGGACACAGCCAACGAGGTGAGAACAGCTGAGCTCTTTACAGCTCTGATTAGGTAACAAGCAGCAGCCCAAAAGGGCCAGAGGACCTGTGGGCAGTGGTTCCTGCCTTCTGCATCGGCCCAAGGTTCCAGTCGGTGTACCTGGTCGTCCATGAGAGACAGGAGGGGAGAGATGACCAACGTGAGGCAGGGGCTCCGCCGGGCGTAAAGCAACGCAGGGAGCTGGTAGCACAGGGACTTGCCAGCACCCGTGGGCAACACCAGCAGCGTGGACATGCCTGGTGGGACCAAGGATCAGTAGTGCCACTCCGTGGCCAGGCCTTGGCCCTGCCTCATCCCCCCAGCAGCCAAGCTCACCAGAAAGGATCCGCATGACCACACGCTCCTGCCCAGGGCGGAAGGCTTGGTGCCCCAGCTGCTCTAGGGCCTGGAACACCTCAGCTGGTGTCTCTGGGGACATGGGTGTTGGTCAGCATGGCCCCAAGTCGCCCCCATCTCCCAGTAAAGGCTCTGGGCTGGTAGGCTTCTGCTCACCTGCCACCTGCCCCGAGGGCCCTGGTGGGTAGAGTGGTGGCACATAGGGGGGTGGGCAGTGCGCCTGGGGCACAGACTGCTCCATGGTCACCAACAGCTCAGGCCCAGAGGGTTCTGTATCTTTCTCACTTACTAGAAACGGACACAAAAAGGTGGTGTGGGACTCCAGACTAGACTGGGATCTTTCTAGCAAAAACAGGTAACTAGAGCCTGCCCCCCGTCCCTTCATTCACCAGGGAGCCAACAGCTGGCAGTGCCTGTCCTCTGGACTGCTTCCTCCAAGGTGAGCTGGGTCGGCACGTCCTCTTCGTTCTTACTGCTCTTCTGGGGGCCCGGAGTAGGCTCTGCATCAGGTATAAGGAGCTGCTGGATTCCTTTGTTCGAGCTAGACGTGCTTCCCCCCACTCCTCCCTGAGAGTACAAGTCTCCTCCGAACAGTGTTAGGAACCCATCACCCAGAGTAGAAGTTTCACCTGGTTGGGGGCACTGGGATGACCAGTGGCCTAGCTGCCCACACCGGAAGCAAGAGTTCCTGACTGTGGCTCTGGGCTGACCACCTCCAAAACACTCCCCTTTCTTCTGCCACTTCTGCTTCCACATCTGGGGGCCGCAAAAGAAAGTCATGAGGCAAAAGGTGGTAGGGATGAAGGGAGTGCCTGCCACCACCTCACCTGCTTCCGGAGCAGCCTGCCACGGAGTGCTGGGCCCCGCACATAGCGTTTCTGCTTCAGGTTGAGTCGTACGTAATTATCTCCGCTCTGGATAGCTGGTCTAGAAAGGATGTACAAGCAGGCCATGCCCAAAGCCTGCCCCACCCTGGCTCATCTCAAGGCGACCCTACCGGGAAGCTGAAGCTGTAGTACCTGGGGGCTGTGGGGCCACTGGGGGGCTGAACCCACGGGGGTTCTCCTGGACCATCTTCTGCATGTCCTGTAGCCCCAGCTTCTTGAGGCAGAGGTCCTGCTTCGCCACTGTCCTGCTGGGTTTGTGCAGGGTTCCCTTCTGGTTCCCTGCCACATCTCCACTTCTTGCCTCGACTGTTGCCGGGTTGGGGGCTCCTTGCAACTCCACCTGTCTGTAGGGCTCGAGTCTCGGGGCCAGTGCCGTGACCAAGGATTGATGGGACACCTGAGGTCAGAGGCTGTGACCCCTCTACGCCCAGGTTAGGCGGGCAGACCTGGGCAGCCCCCAGGAAGTCTGGGGCCCCATTGTGACACCGCTGTAGCCAGTCAGGATCTAGGGAGCTCAGTCGTAGGCTCAGGGATGCCTGTAGCTGCTGGAGGCGGCCTGGCCTCAGCTGGGGCCCACGAGGCTGGAGGGGCACCTCACTGACTTCTTCTGGAGAGATGGGGGCAGCCCCTGCACCTGGTGGCCCCGGGGAGGGCGTCTTGGACGAGGGTCTTCGTGGAGGCCGGGGTATGCAGCCCAGGGCTGGCCCAGCCTGAGAGGGGGAAGACAGACCAGGACGCAGGAACTCAGGTATTCGGGCTGCTACTACAGACTCTGAAACCTGCCAGAATGTCCACCCGGAAGCACCAGGCAAGGTGAGAAGCCTGAGGTTGGCTCTGAACCCGTCTCAGGAGTCTCACCCTGATTAATGCTGGAAGGGTACGTATGACCACATAAGTGCAAGTGCGTAAGTGTGGAAGGGTTGACGAGAAAAGCTATGTGGTGATCCTGTCCCTGGGCGGACACTAGCTCTGCATCGAGGACAGACACACTGCCTATTTGGCCTAGGGGTAACTCTCACCTGCAGGGTGGCCTTTAGGTTGGCCTTGAGCCTCTTCCCGTAGTCTGGCACAGACCCCACAGGACTTGGCCCAGAAAGACTAGAACGTGGACTCTGGGTCGCAGCCCGATTCAAGTGCGGCCCCCAGCAGCTGGGCTCCAGCCTCTGCAGGAAGAGAGGGTGGGGGTCCGAGCCCTCCTCCAGCCTCCCAGCCCCCCTCCTCCCCCAGGTCCGGTCCTCCCCCGACGTTCTGTGCCCCACAGAGGCCTGATCACGACTCCTCCTGGCTCTGCCGCACAGGAGACTGACCCGCAGGCCAGGACGTCCAGGCCTGGGTACCTCCTCCGCCGTCGCGAGAAGCGACTGCTTGGGGCTGCGAGGTCCGATGCCGCCGGCCCGGCTCAGGGCCCCCTTCAGGGCGCGGTACTCCCGGTAGAGCGCTGGGAATGGGGGTCAAGGGTCATCGGGGGCCGCCGGGCTCCTTCCCCGCCCGTCCCTCCTTCCTCCCCGCGTCCGCGCGCTCACCGCGGGTCTCCTCCGGCGCCGCCTCCACGTCCTCCTGCGGAGGGAACGCGTCAGCCCGCGGCCGAACCCTCAGCCCCCCGCCCCCGGGCAACCCGCACCTGGCCCGGCCGCCGGCCGCACCGCCTCCGGAACGCGCGCTCCCAATCCTGCAGCCGCTCCCGCACGTCCTGCAGCCGCTCCAGGGCGCGGCCCGGCGCCCCGGACTCCATGAATCTCCCGCCACGAGGGCGACGCCGGCCTCCGGCCAATGGGGGCACCCAGCAGGGTCGGAGGCGGGGCGGCTCGGCAGCCGCCGCCGGGACAGCCAATCAGTGGGGCCCTAGTAGGGCGGCCAATGGGTGGCGTCTACGTCATCGCGGCGCGCGGAGGCGCTGGGCGGGGCGCCGCGGACGGTGAGGCGGGGCCGGTGGCGGTGGCAGCGGCTGTGGGGCTGGTGAGCGCGGGCCGCCGGCCGGAGATGTAGCGGGGCGGCGTGCGCCCCCGGCCCTGCCTGGCCGCACGAAGCAGGCACGGGCGCTTGGGGCGGCGCTACCCGGGAGGCGGGAGCGGGAACCGGACGGTTCGTCCGCGGGGTGGGGGAAGAACCTGGAGCCCTGCGTCGGGCAGAGCGACCTCGGGCCCCGGGGAGACGACGCACCGGCTTCGAGGGGCACATCACGTCCGGGAGGCGGAGGGCGTCGCATTGAGGGTCTCCCGCGGCTCGAGGCCGGGAGGAGCCGGGCGGGGGCGTCTTCGGGGAAACGCCGGGAGCCGCGGGCCGGCGGGAGGGGGCGGCGGCCACTGCACAGAGGCTCCTCCCACGGTGACCACACTGGCTGCTTTCGTTTCCTCTCGTGACAGGTGCTGGGTTGGTCTGTCCTGTCACAGCGAGGTATGAATCGTCCTCGCGAGATTTGTCTCCAGGCAGAGCAAGGCCGAGGGTTGGCGTTCGGGGCTTCTCAAGAACCAGTACCCTAAGGACTTACGTTGTGCATGAGGTCCGGAAGAGCAGGTCCCTGGGGCCAGACTGCTCCCCCTTCCCCGAGCTCATCGCCCAGGCTGTGACCTTGGCCTGGCAAGGCTTAGATCTTAGTTTTCTAATTTGTTTCCAGGGGTATGACTGGGAAGCAGTTTTGAGGATGAGGTGTTTGGCCCAAAGTAAGTCCCCTGACTGTTGCTGCTGAAGTCAATAGTAGAGGTGATGTCCAAGGGCTCCATAGTCTCAGGCATTTACTGTATGCCCTTTGTTAGCTTGGATGCCCATTCAACTGCTGACTCTGTCCATCTGAGCAGTTCCTGGCCTGGGTCCTACTGAATCCCATGGGTTTGAGAGTTGGTCTCTCACTGTGGTTCTCTCCAGGGGGGAAAGAAGACGTTTAGGCAGGTGGCAGGGACCTTGGTGGGTGAGGTTTGCTATCTTTCTGTGAATCTGCAGGGATCTCCGTGCTTGGCAGTACTACTGGACGGTAGTAGTTAAGACCTGAGGGTCAGCGCTGTCTGGACTCAAGGTTTCCTGGGTCCCAGCCCTTTTTACCTTTGCTGGTATTAAGCTGCACCAGTGCTTCCAGTTCTTCTCCAAGGACCACCCGCAAGAGCTGGAGGAGGGTGGGGAGGTGGATTGTGATGCAGCTTCCAGCCCCCTAGGAGTGTCCTACCTCCTCTAGTGCTTGTGTGGTGGGGGAAGGGTCTGAGCTTTATTCTACTTTTGAGGAAGAGAGGGTCTCTTGATAAACAGCTTTGTAATCTGGGAGGCCTCAAGTACAGGTGTGTGTGTGTGTGTGTGGGGAGGTCCTGCAGAGCAGTAGCCGTCAAAAGCACATCCAGGCAAGCTGGTCATGTCTGATGCTGTGCTATTTATGTACCATTTGATGGCTACGTTTCCCTAAAGAGGCCCCATGCTTCTGGAGGGAGGGAACTGGGGGGTGGTCTTGTCCCTGTTTCCACTTAGCCCAATGCTAGGCACTTAGCACTTGCTCTTCAGTGCCACGGTCCTCCACTGAGTGTCAGCGCTGTGCCAAGTGCCATGCTGGGCTTGCTAACTGCCAGTGATGGAGGAGGCTATGGCTGGGTGGTGGCCTGGGGTCTGTCCTCCCCGCTGAAGGGCCCTTCCCTGCAGGTGGCTTCCTGCCTGGCCCAGCGCCATGCACACGCTTGTGTTCCTGAGCACGCGGCAAGTGCTCCAGTGCCAGCCAGCTGCCTGCCAGGCCCTGCCCCTGCTGCCTCGAGAGCTCTTCCCCCTGCTGTTCAAGGTGGCCTTCATGGACAAGAAGACTGTTGTGCTTCGAGAGCTGGTGCACACGTGGCCCTTCCCGCTGCTCAGCTTCCAGCAGCTGTTGCAGGAATGTGCCCACTGCAGCCGGGCCTTGCTGCAGGAGCGCCCCAGCACAGAGAGCATGCAGGCCGTGATCCTGGGGCTGACGGCCCGGCTCCACACCCCAGAGACAGAGGCTGGTACACAGCCTCTCTGCAGGTATGGGCTCACCCGAGGGCCCCGAGGGCCCGGGGTGGGGGGTGGTGGTGCAGAGAGCGTCCCCTGTGAGGTTCCAGGCGACTGCAAGGACTCAGTGCAGGAACGGGCATGTTGCTCCTGTCCCAAGATGGCTGGGAGTGGGTGTGGGCTCTGCTCCCTTGTCTCCTGCTTCAGCCTACCCATGCTCCCAGGAAGCATGCCCTGCGAGTGCTGGACATGACGGGCCTCCTGGACGATGGCGTGGAGCAGGACCCTGGCACCATGAGCATGTGGGACTGCACAGCAGCGGTGGCCCGCACCTGCATAGCACAGCAGCAGGGCGGGACTGCGGAGCCTGGGCTGGCCCCCATTCCTGTGGAGGTTCGTGTGGACCTGCGGGTGAACCGGGCCTCGTATGCGTTCCTGCGGGAGGCACTCCGAAGCAGCGTAGGTAGTCCGCTGCGGCTCTGCTGCCGGGACCTGCGGGCTGAGGACCTGCCCATGCGCAACACTGTGGCTTTGCTGCAGCTGCTGGATGCGGGCTGCTTGCGCCGTGTGGACCTGCGCTTTAACAACTTGGGTCTACGTGGCCTGTCTGTTATCATCCCACATGTGGCCCGCTTCCAGCACCTGGCCAGCCTGCGGCTGCATTATGTGCACGGGGACTCCAGGCAGCCTTCTGTGGATGGTGAGGACAACTTCCGTTACTTCCTGGCCCAGATGGGCCGCTTCACTTGTCTGCGGGAGCTCAGCATGGGCTCCTCTCTCCTCTCGGGACGGTTGGACCAGCTGCTCAGGTGAGCAAGCCCCACTACTGCCCTGCCCTTCCTCCTCTCCCCAAGACCCTCCCCTGGTCCGGCCTGTTTGTGACGTCCTGTGTCCCCTATAGCACTCTGCAGAGCCCCCTGGAGAGCCTGGAGCTGGCCTTCTGTGCCCTGCTGCCCGAGGATCTGCGCTTTCTGGCACGGAGCCCCCATGCTGTCCATCTCAAGAAGTTGGACCTTAGTGGCAATGACCTGTCTGGCAGCCAACTAGAGCCTTTCCAGGGTCTGCTGCAGGCAGCTGCGGCCACACTGCTGCACCTGGAGCTGACTGAGTGCCAGCTTGCTGATACCCAGCTGTTGGCCACGCTCCCTGTGCTGACGCGCTGCACTAGCCTCCGCTACCTCGGCCTCTATGGCAACCCGCTGTCCATGGCAGGCCTCAAGGAGCTCCTCCGGGATTCAGTGGTGCAGGCTGAGCTACGCACAGTGGTGCACCCCTTCCCTGTGGACTGTTATGAAGGCCTGCCCTGGCCACCGCCTGCTTCTGTTCTGCTGGAGGCTTCCATCAATGAGGAGAAGTTTGCTCGTGTGGAGGCCGAGTTGCACCAGCTGCTGCTAGCCTCGGGCCGTGCTCATGTGCTCTGGACCACAGACATTTATGGGCGCCTGGCTGCAGACTACTTCAGCCTATGACCTCCAGCCTGTCCTGGTGTTCAGGGCTGATGGAGATCCCTCCCTGCCTTAGGTAGACAGAGCCTTCATGGGGCCCTGTTGGAGGCCTGACACAGAGGCACTGGTCTCGGGTTTCCTTGCTCCTGGGCATTTTGAGCCTTCCTATGCTTTGTGCAGCACCATGCGCAGTTTGCCCTGTACCCATTCCCCTGACTGGCTTGGGCTTCAGGGCTGGATTCCAGGCCTGCACGGCCAGGTTTGGTTTGGGTGCACTTGGCTACCCTCTGGTGTTGTGGTCCTCTCTTTGGAATGTTTCTGGGGTCGCAGCTGCGAGCTGAGAGAGGGTGTTCTCTCTAGGCCCTTCCCAAGAGCAGACTGCCCTGGGGTTGAAGTTGGAACAGGGACCTGCTTCAAGGAGAGCTGGGTCTCCCTGCCCCGGCACCCAGGAGACCACCTGGTTGGGCTTTGGAGCCAGAAGGTGTCATTAAGGTACAAACGTGCAGTGTGTTTGGAACTTAAATTTGTGGTTGTTTTTTCTGTCCTAATTGGTCAGAATGACTTGTCGCTGGCTCTGCTGTCACCCCCAACCTGGCCGCTGGGTAACAGCTGTCTTCCAGTCCGCTGCCCTCCTCCCCTTCCCTGGGCATCCCACCCGCCTCACAGCCAGTCTGGACGCCTCCACAGCCCGTCGCCCCTCCCACCTCGGGGAGGCCCCAGGTCCTCCAGAGGCTGGCGAGCCGGTGTCAGCCCCTGCAGAGCTAGAGGTGAGGGTAGTCCTGGGAGGGGTCTTTTCTGGAGGACCTCAGTAGGGGTGTAGGGAACCTCCTTGGCCACCGTCCGTTCGCACCTTAGGACTTCCGCCTGCAGAGCTGGGGGTCCGCAGGTGCCTGCGCCACGCCCTCGGGGCCCCAGACCCCACACACGGCTCGCCGCACACTGCGCAGCTTCTAGCCTTTACTGACTGCGCTGGAGCATGCGCGGGGCGAGCCCGCGGGCCGGCTAGTCCGCGAGGCCGACGTCATCCGCACGCGCCCGCCCGCCCCTTTAGGCCCCGGCTCAGCAGTGAATTTCATAGGCTGCGGGCGGCTGCAGCGGGAGGCCCTGCGCCGGCCCGGTAGCCGCGCCGTCGGCCGCCTCCGTCGGGCCCTCCGCGAAGAGCGGCTTGGAGCGGTCGATGACGAACATCTCGTGGCCTCGCTCGTCGCGGAGCTCCTCGAGCTGCGCGAAGGTGCAGGGCCCATCCGAGTAGTCGTTGACGAACAGCGCGCCCTCCCCCGGCGGCCCCGGCGCCTTTTTCCGCTTGCGCCGGCGGCGGCAGATCATGGTCGCCAGCAGCAGCGCCGTGAGCGCGAGGAGCGCGATGGCGGCTGCGATGGCCGTCTGCGTGGCCAGGCCCAGGGCGCGGAAGGCCATGCTGCCCGCCTCGTGCAGGGGCTCGTGGCTGACGGGGCCGGCGTGCGGGGGCGGCGGGGGCGCCCGCTGCAGCTGCTGCTGCTGGGACAGGTTGACCAGGAGCTGGAAGGGCACGCGGGCGGCGCCGCCGGCGTTGGAGGCCTCGCACTCGTACTTGCCAGCGTGGGCCAGGGTGATGTTGGTGAGGAAGAGCATGCCGCTGCCCGTGTCAGAGGCGCCGGGCCCGCCTGGGCGCGGCGCCCCGCCGTCTGGCTGGATCTGAGCCCGTGGCTGCCCTTCGCGAGGCTGGGCCACCTTTCTCCAGGTCACCAGGGGCTGCGGGTAGCCGGAAGCTTGGCAGGCAACCCGCAGGTCCTCCCCCAGGTTGGCTGTCACCTCCAGCGGCTCCACGTGTACAGAGGGCGGGATGCAGATGAGGCTACTGCCAGATATGTCCAGGAGACTTTGAAGTGCCAGGCGCGGGGGCTCTGCACACATTATCTTCTTGTCCCTGGAGCTGAGCAGCCGCTGGCCGCCCTCCTTGATCCATGCTCCCAGCCAATGCAGGGCACAGTCACAGCGCCATGGGTTCTCTGTGGGCAGAGCAGTGGCGGGCTGGTAGCTCAGGGGTGGTTGGCCAGAACAAGAGCCCCTTTTCTACCTCCCACAGGGCGCCCCTGCAGCCTCTTCTCTGACCCCAAGCTCCTTGGAGTGTGGGCAAACTCTTCCCTCCCTCTTCAATTCTGTGATGCACGTTCCAGATCTCTAATTTCTAAGAAAGTCTCTACTCCTCTGAAGTCTCTGCAACAAGTCCCATTATTTTTGGGGAACCTTGGTGTCCACATAGACATCCTACAGCACTGAAACCTTGCAGGTCCTGTCAGCCTTGTTTTCAGGTGCTGTGTCCTGGAATGCCAGCCCTAGTTTCATCCTTCCAGTTTCTGCCTGCCTGCCCTGATAAGCCCCAAAGTGTGCAAGTGCAAGCCCCTCAACTCTTTCCAGGGATTTCTACCTTTTCTGTCTTCATTAGGCAAGTTCCCTGAGCTGTGTCCCTTCCAGCACCCCCATTCCTATCAGACTTCTCCCATGGGTGCAGGTGGTGGCATGGCCCTCCAGAGTGCTCCTGGATGGTCTGCAATTCAGAGCCACTGAAATCAAAGTCCACTCCACACCTGAGCCTGTTTCCTACTGCCACCCCTGTGGCCAGGGAATAAAGCTTTGCATGAGATCCCTTCCCCCCGGAAGGAGGTACCTGTGAGACGCAGGACCTGCAGGCTGGCCAGGGGCTGTAGGGCCTCACGGCTGATGGTGCCCAGTTGATTCCTGCTGAGGTCCAGCAGTGCCAATGAGGAGAGCCCGGCCAGGGCCTGGTCCTCCAGCAGCTCAATGCTGTTTTCCTGCAGGTGCAGCTCCTGCAGTCGCTGAAGGAAGGACAGCAGATCATCAGGGAAAGGCCCTGGGACACAGGATCGCTTCCTAGCGGGATAGACGGGGTTGACTTTTCTCCCTTTCACTACCCCTAGCCCACCTAACCCCCTCACCGGTAGGTGCAGGAAGGTGAAATCCAGCAGCTGCACTAGCTGGTTACCAGCCAGGTAGAGCGCACGGAGCTGGGCCAGGCCGGCGAAAGCGCCAACTCGCAAGCCACGCAGCCGGTTGCCGGTGAGCGCTAGCTCTAGCAGGCGTGACTGCGCGCGGAAGGCGCCTGGCTCCAGGGCGCGCAGGCTGTTATTGTGCAGGTAGAGACGGCGCAGGGCTGCGAGAGGCGCCAGTACACCCGGTTCCAGGCGCGCGATGCTGTTGTCCTGCAGGAACAGCGTCTGCGGGCCGGAGGGAAGGAAGGAGGGTATTCACGCCTCTGAGGGAGCCTCCCTCTTCCCTAGGGCGCTCCAGCACCCACAGGGACGCTCACACAGCCCTCCCTCCGTGTCGCGGGCACCTCTGCTCCGCGGCCCAGTGGCCCCACGCGGTGCCCACCTGCGTCCCAGGTGGAATTCCGGGCGGGACGACGCGCAGCCGCAGGGCGCCGCACTCCACCGTGGCGCTGTAGCAGCGGCAGGCGGCCGGGCAGCCGGCAGCGCGGGCCGGGAAGTCGGGGAACCACAGCAGCCACAGCAGCAGCAGTGTGGGCGCGCCCGGGGCCATCTCCCGCGGGACCGGCCGCGGGCCACGAAGCTGCAACCTCCTGACGGGCTTCCTTATAGTCCACCCCGGATGTGATGTGCCTCCTGAAACACAGGTTGGCAGGCCTGCCCCTAACACTTGAGAGCCAGAGAAGGACATGATGGAGGCCCACAGCTTGTGTCTAGTTTCTGAAAAGTTATAAATCACCTCAAGCAACTGATAAAAAAAAAAAAAAGTTGGTTTCCCTCCTTTATAAAAACAGTCATGAAGATCTGGGGCATCAGGTTTCAGTTTGGAATTTCCACTGTTCTTAGTCTTACTGCACAGGCCATGTGGGGAGAGTCAACCCTGCCCGAGCTCTCTTCTCTTCCCATCTATCTCCCTGGCACTGTAAGGGGCTTCCTCCTCGTGCGTGTGGACGTCTGGGTCCGGCTTCCCTCTACATTCTAGCAACTGGCCACTCCTTGAATCTAAGGTGCAAGAGGCTAGTGCAAGGTGAGGTGGTGAAGCCCATTACCCAAGCACAGGCTAGAAGAGGAAGAACAGGCTCTGGGAAGACATTTCCCCTTGTCCACATGGACTCCTCTCTGTGAGACCTCCAAAAGCTGAGTCCATAACAGAAGTCTTGTGCCCCCAACACAAGGCCCCAGGCCCCACACTGCCAGTGTCCTTGTCTTCACCCAACCCTGACCCAGCATTGTCTAGTCCTTTTCTCCCTAGGACTCATGCTGTGTTCCCCGACCCTGGGATCCACCTGATGTATCTGGATGTGGGTAACATGGGCAGAACTAATCTGGGAGCCACCAGCCATAGGAAAATGCAAGCACAGCTTTATCCAGCCCCTGCCCTCCTAGGGGTGAGAGTGGGTGGAACAGCTTGCAGAGAATTAGGGGTATTTCTCAGGGAACTTGTTAGACAATTGGGGGATGTGGCACACAATAGGAAATGGCCTATGTTCTCCCTGCTGGCTCCCAGCAAGTTGCTTCTGTTTTTTTTGGGGGGGGGGCCTCTGGAACAGCTGCGTTGTAAAAGAGGGGCCTTGGGCCACCAACTGGGTTTCTAGGGTAGTTTCCCAAGTGGGCTTTGGGAGCAGTGACCTCCTAAATTGTGAGGGAATATGTAGTGTGTTTGGGATTTATGCACATGCATCTGTGATCCTAGAGAAATGGGGAGGCCTGGGACTCGTTCCAGGCACAGTAAGTCCAGTTTTAAAGGTGGGGACTTGGGCCGAGAAGCCAGCTAGTTTGGAACTAGGGATAGCAAAGCTGAGGGTGTGCTGTCATCCAGCCTCCAGCCCTTCCTCAAAGGGTCCCGCTCTGAACACCTGCCTGTTTACCAAGTCTCCCTGCTAGCAAGAGTGAGTCATGTGGAAACGGACCAAGGGGCCTTGGTGTCTGCTCAAATCTTGCTCTAAATTGCAACTCACATGATTATTTAAAGTCACTAGAAATGAGGTAGGCACAGCAAAAGTTTTAATGGAATATAGCTTTGGCCCAGGCAGAGGCAGTTCCCAGGTGTCTCCGGATATGTGTGAACCCCAAGGACCTGAAGGCATACTCTGGGCTCCTGGGATCCATTTCCCTGAGCCAAACCGCTGGCCCAGGGCTTGCCCACCCAGCCTCCAGCGGCAAGTCCTCTTAAGTAGAGGAGCTTCTTGGCTTCCTCAGGATTCAAGGCACTGCGGTTCACAGGGACACCCCCTAGACACTGATTGGAATAAAAGGGCCGGCCTGAGCAGGGATGAGGGCCCAGCCGGGAAGAGCAGAGGCCAGCCCAGAAAGCCTTTTACCCAGCGGACAGCCCTCTAATCCGGTTGGGCAGGGGGCGGGGCGTCACACACAGGATTCTGCGTTGGCTGTCACCGTCTCCAGGGCGCCCATCTGTGCGGGGACTGGAGGGGCGAGGAAGCCTGCGACCCCCTCGGGCTCAGTGCGAAGCCTGAGCCACGTGCCTCGATTCCCCCCACGGTGTCACCTGCACCCCCTCCAGCGCGGGTCTGTCCTGGGCCAGTTCAGGGCAGGGCGTGGTCCCTGCCAGGTCTCCTCCCCTTCTCGGTGCGCGTGCGGTACAGAGCCGGAAAGGCCCCCGATCCCGCCCCCATGCCCGCTGACCTCGGGTCGGGCGCCCCCTCACCTGACACTCCCGCGGCGCGGCTCCCCCGCCGAGCCCGCGGCGCCCCGGCCCACCGAGCAGCGCCGGGCGGGGGAGGGGCGGGCGCCGCTCGCGCACGCGCACTGGAGCCCCCGCGCCTCCGGCCCGGCCTCCCCGGCCAGCCCCAGTGAGCGATGGCCAAACCAAAGGACGCCCCAGGCCCGAGGTGTGGGGAGGGAGCAGAAGGGCCCGCGACCCCGCCCCTCCTCGCGGTCGAGGCCACGGACGCGGCAGCACCTCGGACAGCGCCGAGCCGACCGGGCCGCGGTGCACCTGTGCCGCGCACGCGCATTCGGCCGGCGCGCTCTTTGGGTGCGCGTGCGCAGCGATGCGCGGCCGGGACCTCGCGGGGAGGGGGGCAGGACAGCGGGGCGAGGCGGGGGGGGGCGGCCAGGGGCACCTGCGGCTCAGGGCCGCGGGGTGGCGAGCAGCAGCGGGGCCAGGTCCATGGTGAGGGCGAGGCGGCGGCCTTGCCAGCGCACGTGCGAGGGCAGCGCGGACGCGCCGGGCGGATACTCGAAGCAGGCGCTAAGCTCGAAGGCCAGGGCTGAGCGTACCAGGCCCACGCCGCCCGCACGCTCCGGCGCCGGGTGGTAGAGGCGCCCATTGGCTGCCAGGGGCAGCAGACGCGCCGGCTCGAAGGGCACTGCCAGGGCCTCACCGCCGCCGCAGTAGGAGAGAAGCGGGGGCCCAGGGCCCGAGGCCAGCAGGTGCGTGAAGACCACGGGCCGGTCTTCGCAGCGCAGGAAATTGCGCTCCCTGCCGCAGGGCGAGAGGAAGGGGAAAGAGGCCTCGTAGCGACCGCTGCGGTTGGGTCTCAGGCGGGAGAAGAAGGTGACCAGGAACTGTGGGTCTGGAGGTGAAGGGGCGCGGTTGCTTACCATGCCAGTCTACACGGGGCCCCGCTCCCCCAGGCAAACGGCTTGCCCTGGGCAACGCCAAGGGCTGGCACCGCTCGTCGGCCCACCACTTTGGCCTCACTCCGGACAGCAGGGCTCTTGTGCGCAGGATGCCCAGTCCTCTGCTTCGGGCGGGCCAGTGGGGAGGCTGGGGAGCAGAGCCCACCAGGGCCTTGCCGAAGGGAGACAGAAGGTGGGTAAGAGGGTGCAGCAGTACCTTTGAAGCAGGTGATGAAGTTCTTCATTTTGGAGTCATCCAGGAAAAGCTGCGGACAGAGGGGCAAGCCATTGCCCATGAGTCCCAGCTGGGAGCCAGACAGAGTCGGCCCCAGGGCGGGGGAGGCATTGGGCAGGCCTGAGCTGAGGCTAGTGTCCGCTTCCCTTGCTCGTGTGTACACACCGTGTGCAGAGAGGCGAATGCAAAGTAAACCGGGGGTCCTACCGACATTCCCGCATCTACGCCGCACTCCAGGCCGTGCTGGTGCCTGAGCTGCCATGCTTTCCCCGTACCTCTCCCTTCCTCAAGTTTCTAATTAAGTGTGCCACCTCCTCCGCGGAGGCTCCCCGACTTGCTTCCACCCGCCAGGGCTTGCAAATCAGGCAGGGCGGCCCCGGGGGCCGGGGACTGCAGGGAGGGGCAGGATCTGGGGATGTAGAGCGCGCGAGACGCAGCTGCAACTGCGTGTGGTAGGTTGGCTGCTGGGGGTCCGACCCCTCTGGGGCTGAGGCCCGACGCCCCAATCTCTCCAGCTCGTTGACCCAGCTCAGCAGTCACGTTCACTTACCTCAGAGGCCCCGCCCCTCGCAGGGGCCCTCCCTCCGACCCCACCTCTCTTACAGGTGCGCCCCCTCAGGCCCCGCTCCAGGCCCACCTGGCCCTGATGATCCACGTAATAAAAATATTCTCGCGTCCGGGGCTCGGGGGCCTGGCCCTGCGTGTAGGAGATGTCCCCGCCTCCACCGCAGGCCCGGGTCCCCGGGGACCGCGCCAAGGCCAGGGCGCCAGTCCGGAGCGCTCCGCATGCCTGCCACATCTTCCTCCGGCGCCGGAAGCGGCGGGCCGGTCACGCGGGGCTGGCGCTGCGTGAACACGCATCCCCCGGCGACTGCGGCCTCACACTTCGGGTTCCGGGGACGAGCGCGGAGCTCGCTTTCCCTGGGCGCACCGGATTCCCGGACGGCGGGAGCGGCCCGCCCTGATGTCCCGCTGGGGAAGGGCTAGCGGACGAGACCGCCAGACAGCGGGGTGTGGATGTGATACGGGGGTGCAGACGGATTCAGGAGTGAGGGGACGGGCTGGGAGCGAGGCCCTGGCAGGAATGCAGGCTCTGTCCCTCCGCCGTCGGAGCCTGGCCGCCAGCACGTGGGCGAGGTACCCCTCAGAGAAAGCCAGTTTGGCTGGGCTGTGTCTGCATTTTCAACTAGTTACTGAATAAACACTCTGCCTAGAACCTATGGCAGGTTGGGGGTAGGACGCGTCACAAAAAGCCCACTCCCTGTGCAAACGGGCGGGGACTTAGGGGTCAGGGACTTAGGGGTCGACACATACCCCCGGTGGCCGCAGACGGCACAGGGGGGCCCAACACCCAGCTGGTGCCCCCTCCCTGGCTCATCACCTCTCCCCCATTCCCAGGAAACAGCCTTGCTTACAGCCCAACCCCCTACGCGCTCTCTCCATCCCCCACTCTCCCCTGGCCTGTCCACCGAGGTGACCACACTAGCAACAGGCTGGCTGCAGTAGTGGGCTGCCCAGCCCCCAACCCAGACTTCTGAAGCAACTGGAAGAGCACGAGGCGACAGGCATTGACCGTGGCTCACAAGTGTCCATATGTATTTTATTCACACAAAGTGTTGTCACCTCTTGAGTCCATGCGTCAGAGCGAGAGTCTGTGGCCGGGCCGTCCATCCCAGGCCCGGAGAACCACCCGACTGAGGATGCTACCTCAGGGGACACCCGGGCAGCGGTAGGGCTGGGCTTTTTTGTTTTTAATAATAAATAAAAACTCAACTCTAAAAAATATATATATATATATAAACTGGGGAGAAATTAAGTTTAACAATTGGAACTCAAAATTCCAAAATGGAAAATGTACAAACTGAGAGTCTAGGTACCTCCTACCCCCAGCTCTGGCCTTGAGGAATCCTGGGCGTTCCCTGTTTCCCCAGCTTGGGGTCCCTTCCCTCTTCAACTGCAGGTCCCACGTGGGGATGGGGCAGGGTTTGGTTTTTGGTCAGAAGCCAAGAAAGTGGCGAAGAAAATGATGGAGTGATATCAACTTGCTCTGCACAGAGGACAGGCTAGGACGGCTCAGAGATAAATAGCATTTGGGTTAAAACTATGTCATTAGCAAATTTAGTTCTTATATCTTTCCCTCTATATCTTTATACACAGGCGGGTTGGTGTGCTGGATAGAATCTGAATTTATAGTTACATGAAGAAAAAATACTCTTGCCCCTCCCCCACCCTGCCCCAAGAATGCCTGCCCAACCCTGCCCCCCACCCTAGAGGACTTTGGTTTGGGGGCCCCTCTCCACCCAGAGTGAGCCTGCCGGGCCCTGCTCTGGTGATGGACAGCCCAGTGCCCTGGGGCCCCCAACTCCTGTGCAGTCTCGACGATGGAGGCCACAGGTGGCGGGGTGCGGGTGGGGGGTGCGGGGTGTTGGAGGCTACAGGCCAGGAAGGAGACCGAGGGGAAATGCGGGGCAGAGGAAAGAGGCGCAGCCGGGCAGGGGCCAGGCCACGGCCAGGCTGAGCGCAGGAGCCCCAGCGAGGCAGCTCACTCCGGGGGAGGGCGGTGTGTGCTCTCAGGCCGGCCGGGAGGGGCAGTGTCACTTGGCTCCAGGAAACAGAAGGCACTTTCTCGGGGCTGGCCGGCCGGCGGTGGGCGGAGCGGTGCCCAAGGAACTGGCCACTAGGCGGCGCGGTGGGAGGGGGCCCAGAGGCGCTCTTCCCACTCGCCCTCTGCCCCGGCTGCGTCCTCAGGCCAAGGGCCTGGGTGGGAAAGTTGGGGGCTTCCAGGGCTGGGGCGGGCATGGGCGGGGCCTGGCATGCTGCCTCCGCGGCTGGGGCGTTCCCTCCCCCCTCCCCGCGTGCTCCCCTGCCCAGGCGCACCCGAGCTTGGCTCTGTCCCCACCCTCGGTCCTTGGGGCCCACGTGCTATAGCACGCCCTCCATGAAGCTGGTGTCCAGGTGCTGGATGAGCACGCGCAGGAACGACATCTCCTTGCGAGTGTTCTCGAAGATGACGCGCGGGTCGTCCGATCGGCAGCGCAGGCAGTTGGGCGCCATCACCATGGCCAGGTTGCTGACGTCCATCTTGGTGATGGCCACGTTGGCGGGCTGCACGAACACCTGCGCAGAGGGGACAGGAGGGTGGGCCGGGCCCCGCGCGTGAGGGGTGCCCTGGAGGGGTGGGGGCGTGCCCCGCCGCGTACCTGAAGGAAGCGGATGAGGTAGCACAGCACCAGGCGGTTGATGCGGGGGAGCGCGTGCACCACGGCCACGGCGGCCTCGGGGTTCTCGTAGTGCGCGATGCACTGCTCGTAGAACTCGTGCGGGATCAGGGGCTCCTCCAGCTCCCGATACCACAGCTTCAGCAGCGAAGCTGCGGACACACAGCGCGGGCGGGGGGCCGGGGAAGGGTGCTCAGCACAGCCTGCTGGGCGGGCTCCCCTGGGCTGGGCGGGAGCCGTGGAGTGGTCAGCGGGTTAGGGCGACACAGGGTAGGGGCAGCGTGCGGCGTGAGAGCGGGAGTGTCGGGCCAGACTGGAAAGGCCCAGACCCTGGCGTGTTGGTGCTCCTGAGGGCCAGAACTGACCCTGGGGGTGCTGGGGGCTGATGCAGGGAGTGCAGGAGAGCGGCAGGCTAGGCTGGAAGAAGGGCCCCCAGGAGACTGCATGATGGGAGGGGTTGTCTGTGCTAGAAACGGACGGGGAGCCATGACATCACTGGGGGAACAAGGGGGAGCCCAAATGTTTCAACTGCCTGGAGCAGGCCTGCTTCAGCTCCTAGGGAATGGAGGCTCACCAGGGACGTGGGGGTCCTCCAGGCCCGTCGGCACCTTCCACTGGTCTACCTGCAGCTTCAGGGCATTCACCTCATCAATGTCCCCAGGGACTCTGTGGAGCACAGGGTGGGTCACACCGAGGAAGACTCTCTTGCCCTGGATCAGACCCCTCCCCCACGCTGTCCCTCTTCCCTCTGCGGGCCATCCCCAGGCAGATGCCATTATCAGCAGGGTCACTGAGGCTCAGACCCCCAAGCCTGTTTCCCCAGCTCCCCCCCACCCCGGGGCTTGGGTAGGTGAGTCTTGACAGCAGGCCTTGTGCTACTCCCCAT